ATCCGATGACAGAGCCAATATCGCGGCGTGTTCCGAGTGCAAGGTTATTAAGGCACGGTCCGATCGGCGAGTACGCGCCGGTCTGCTCGGATCGAAGCTCGGGCCAGTGGCATCGGGAGCTCATTGCCATCGGCCGCGCCCGCTCCCGCGTCCGCGCCCGAATCCGAAGCCTCATCTGCGATTACTCAACCAGCCGCCGATCTCTGGCCAAAGAGGACGAGAGAGAGAGAGAGAGAGAGAGAGAGAGAGAGAGAGAGAGAAAGAGACGCGGAATAGAAGAGAACGAGAACAGAAGCATCGAGGAACCAGCCGACGCGCGACGCGCTACGCTTCACGATCGCATCGCGGTCCATTCCAATTGTTGAGCCGCGCCGCATCGAGCCGAGGCGCGCCGCGGCGCCGACAATTGCATACGATTGCGACAGCCATCGATTCGGATCGTTTCCGGCGCAGGAATCTCGATGCCGATCGCCGCTCGGTCGCCGCGATAGACCGAGGCGAAATCCCCAGAATTTCTCTCGTCGGGGATCGCGCCGCGAAGGGTTGCGGGCCCTTGGCAAGCTCGTCCTTGATAAAGGAACGATGAAATTTCGAAAAAGAGCAAAAGCTCGGATGCCGATCTCGCGACGCGGACGCGAACGCGTCGACGACTTCGCCGGCGACCGGTTCGAGGCGACGGAATTATACTCGACGACGTTAGTTTCGACTTCGCTCGAACTTTCGTGTTTCTGTTTCGGCGAAAGGAGATCAGTAACCCGACCGTCGGCAAGGACGAGTGCTCGAGGCGCCGTCGAAGAAAAACAATAAAACGAGAATTGGCACGTCTGGCGAAACAGTTGACTGCCGTAAAGTCAACTGGTCGACTTGTCCGCGAGTGACGAGCGACGAGCGACGAGAGACGAGAGACGAGAGACGTGGGACAACGCGAGACAACGCGGGACTCGTTTCATCGAGCCCGGCCGATTTCGAACAGATTTTCCATCGATTCCGAAACTAGTTTGGCGGGTACGCGCCTCCGAAATTCGGCCGCTCGGCGGAAACGAACGAGATCGACGATTTCGCGACGCGAACCCGTGACTCTTCTTGATCGGAGTACAGTAAAGTCTCCCTAATCGACGCTTAGATTGTGCAGAAAAGTGGACAATTTTGGAAGAGGAGATACGATTATTCGAGCCTTTATAGTTACCGATTCTCAACAATTATAAAAACGAGCCGCGAGGCTCGAATAATCGTATCTCCTCTTCCAAAATTGTCCATTTTCATGCACGATCTCTGAACGTCGATTAGGAAGACATACTTTCCTGGCGGAAGCAATAATTGTTTGCTCGGAACAATTTCTCGCGGATTCACCGTTTCTGCCGCGGGGGACTCTCGTTCGTAGACGCTCCTTTCGGACATCGGCCGCGTTCCGATAATCGAACAATCGTAACGGATGATCGCGAACGAGATCGAACCGTACTTACCGTCGTTGTTCACCGTGGCCTCGGAAGGACGCGGCAGTCGCGTCGCTTCGGTCCGGCGTGTCCAACGTTGTCGTCGAAAAGGAGACAGATCGGTTGGCCGTCTCGCTTCTCTAACCGCCGATCAACGGTACCGACTACCGACTAGAAAGAAACTTCTGCTCTTCGCTATACGACTCGATCGACGGGATCGCGTTCTCGCCACTCGTCTTCGTCTTTATCTTCGTCTTCGTCTTCGTCTCCGGTTCGCGGGGATCGAAGTCTACGCGGCGAACAAACAACAGGCGACGCGCGTCTACCGATTTCACTGGATTCGAAACGGTTCGATAATTTAACCTCGATCGATCGGTGGTTCGTTCGGAGGCGACGGGCGCGCTGGCGGAACAAGAGCATGGAAATAGGGAAACTCTGAAGAGAAAGAGAGAGAGAGAGAGAAAGTGAGAGAACGGGAGAACGTACGCGTACGCGTACGCGTCCCGCGCAGCGAGCTCTAATCGGGCCCTGCGCTTCGATTAACGACTCGTTAAAACGAAGCCGTACATTGTAGATAAATTGACAAACGCGCGAGCAGCATGCGAGGGACAATATTCTTGGCGAAACACGACGGACAAACAAGTAGCGAGTGCGCGGGTACGCTTCGCGTCCCACGCAACTCGCAGCCGACCTCCTCGTCGCGTCGGTTATTTTGTCGGCGCGCGATGCGATCGCGGCGCGTTCGCGTTCGCGTTTTTCGATCGTCGCCGCGGAAAAGACGCGTCATTTTCGTTCGGTATCGAGCGACGAGAAGCCCGCGCGACCGACGATATATACGGCGAGACTCGTTTAACTTTGACCCGAGATAAAAATTAAAAATATTGAGCATCGACGAGAGTGTCTTGCCGCGGAAAAATGGCGAGCCTCGAACTCGCGTGGAATCGCCGGTTCCCGGTTCGAGATTCGAGGAAATCTACCCGACGAACGAACGAGCCGTTTCGCAAAATCGATCCGGGTTTCGAACCGCTCGCCGGGGTCGATCGAAGCCAACGAGCGGTTCGAGGAACAAAACGAGCCACGGAACAATAATCGTTTCATGGCCCGAAAGTTTATCGCGACCCTGACTGACGTCGCACCGTGAATCTCTCTCGGGCGATTGCAAAAGAAACGGAAACATTCCGAAGAGATGCAACGCGTTCTACCTACGTTGTCGAAAACACGCTCTCTCGAACGTTGACGGCCGACGGCCATCGTAGCGCCTCCTCTCGCGCCTCTCTCCTCTCTCTCCGCCGGTCCTCCGACACCTCGCGTCGAGAGGAGCGGAAACCGAGGAGAGCAGAAATCGTGAACCAAATAAAAATCCAGAGACACGTTTCATCGAAAAACCATTTATTTCAGCGAATAAATATTCTATGAATACTCTCTACCTAGGAAGTACACGTTACATGTAATAAGTATGCGGTAATTAGCCGCCCTCGTTTCGATACTGGGAGTACACAGTTCCATTACTTTCCTTTTTTTTTTCTTTAATAATAGGTACACTGACAAACAAAGGAGGAAACGGGAACCAGGCGAGAGAAGAGAAACTGGTACGGGGTGATCGCGTTCGTGTGCGTGTGTCTGGGCGTGTGCGCGCGCGCGCGCGCGCGTATGTGTGGGTGCGTCTAGCGAATGGAGGAGAAAAGAGGAAACGGAAACGAATAGAAGACGGCGAATCGAAGGAAGAAGAGAAAAGGGGACGAATCGTCGATGCTCCATCTTGGAGCCGCGGGCGTGAATCCGAATCTCGTGAAATTCCTACGTTTGCTCCGACGAAACGAAGCAAAAGATGACGAAGAGGAAGAACTAGAAGGAGGAGGAGGAGGAGAGGGGGGAGAAAGTGGGGAAGAATAGAACGAAAAGAGTAGACGTTTCTGTCCGCGAAAGGATTAGAATCAGAGGATCCTCGGTACGCTGGAACACTGGTACGCTCTCGACGGTCGGTGTGCTCTCGAGTCAAGCAACTAGATATCACAACGATTACTACCATAATTTACACCGAATCACATAAGACGCGGGATCGAGTATAAAACCGCGTCGTCGAACCTCATCCTTCCGTCCGGATGTCGCGCGATCGCGACAAAGGACGCGAGGTTGGCCACGATATACGTAATACGTACACATAGGTATAAATTCTAATCGCCACTGCTGCGGTCCGTCGACGTCTATATATAGACTACCTAACCGATTACGCGCGCGGAAATCCGTTCCGAGCCTGTCCGATTTTCGGAAATCGAAAATCGAGCTCCCCCGGCTGCGAGAGATTCGTTTCCATTTCCCTTTCCGTTTCCGAGCGCGATCGTCCGGCCGTTGCAGTTGGCATTTATTGTACAATAACCGAAAACGGGAGAACCGACACAACTGGCAACTGGCAACCGACAACCGGCGATCAGCCTCGCGCGGATTCCGGTTCCGACGCGCGACAGAGCCCGGCGAAACGCGGAGACCGCACGGTCGCCTAATCGTTCCGACGCGAAGCTTTCGTTCGCTTTCGCGTTCGGAAGCACGTTCTCCCGAGCTCTGCTCTCGGCGAAACACGAACGAAAAAGTCCTGAACGAAGCGACAATGAAACGACAGCCTAACTTACCATGTATTTACACGAAACTCACACGCACTCTCGTACACGCGCTCGCAGGATTCGTAGAGAAACATACTGGGAAAATATGTATACGCACGTGTATGTATAAACAGACAGACAGACAGACAGACAGACAGACAGAGAGAGAGAGAGAGAGAGAGAGAGAGAGCAAGGGAGAGAAATGTAGAGAGTGAGAGAGAGAGAGATTCATCTTTCTATCTTTCTTCATTTTTCATTTGTTTTTCCGTGAAAAATGCAACAAGCTCCCGTATAAAAAATAATTCTTTCGCTGGGTCGTTCTCTGGGATCAGGTGCAAACGCATCGACACCATAAAAATAATACCGTGACTCTAGGAACTATCCGCCTTGCCATGGGCCATCCTCGTGGACCATTGTTACGCATCGGGTGCCTGTCTCGCAGGTTTGCGTCGCGTCGCATCGACTCGTCCGAGACGGTCGCCGTCGTCGTTCTCCGCCACGCCGACTGCTCGACCGATCGACCGCCCGTCCTCGTCCTCGTCCTCGTCCTCGATGAACCAGCCTAAAAGTCACCCGCGGAACGTTCGCGCGTGTCTCGTTCGTGTCTCGTTCGCGTCACGGCACCAAACACACACACTGCAAAACAAGGCACTTTCAGTCCATCGAACGAGGAATCGTCGAGGCGATCGTCGAGAATCGAACGCGACGACGAGGACGACCGATCGATCGACGGTCGAACGGCGATCGAACGGCGATCGAAAGTCTCTCGGCGGGTGAACAAAGGAACGAAACCGAAAGAAAAAGAAAAACGAAAAGAAAAAGAAAAAGAAAGGAAAGTAAGGGAAAGAAACGAAAACCGTTCAGGATCGTCGCGAGACAGGTCGGACGACGAGCGTCATTCCGTTGGCATCCTCCTCCTCCTCCTCCTCCTCCTCCTCCTCCTCCTCCTCGTCCTCCTCCTCCTCCTCCTTCTTCTTCTCCTCCTCCTTCTCCCTCTCGTCGTCGATGTTGTTGTCGTCGTCGGAGTCGCTCCTCGTCGAGCCGTACGGTGGACTATGTACATCCGCATCTCTCGACAACCATGCCCGGTAGCCGCGAGAACACGATCTGGTACTCGTTGTCGAAATAGAGGATCGTGATCTCCGAGAGCTTCCTCGGAGCGCAACAGGGCCCGGTGTTGTTCGGCGGCAACGCCAGGCTCACGATGTGGGTGTTCGGATACGACTGCAGAAACGCCATTGGACAGTCGCCCGAACAATAGTTCGCGTCGTACCTGAGGCAACAAAATCGTCGCGCACCGATTACGATTCTACGTGCATGGATAGCAACCGTGGATATATAGGAGCGCGTACCAAGGGAGACCGATCGAAACCATTGACAACAACACGAATAAAACGGACTCACTTTTTGGGCGCGATGATCCAATCCCAGCCAAACTTTTCAAAGTCGACGGTGAGCTTGTACCGACAGCACTTGGGCTCCTGGCTGGTCTCGTCGCAATTCAGTCCTATGTTCCGCTTGATCCTGGCCCCCCTTCGGGAGTCGAGCTCCTGCGTCTGCACCTCGAGGTAGGGCGCGTACTCGGCGCCGGGATTGGTCTCGACCAGCTTCGAGTTCCTCCGGTGGTTGCCGCCGGGACCGGGCCCGGAGATCTTGAGGGCGACGCCTAGGTTGTCCCTGGGGTGCTTGAACCACTCGGCCACCATCCTCCGGAGCTCGATGGTCACCCAGGAGCCGCCGCGGCCGGCGGGCCTCGGGTGCTTGGTGGTCAACGCCGGGCCCAGCAGCGGCCCGCCGGACTCGGTGGCCCCCCGGAGGATCCTCTGCAACGTGATCGTCACCGGGCCCGAGTCCTCCTGGCTCTCCGGCTCGCCGGACTTGCCGTCCGCCGAGCGATCCTCCTTCCCGGCCGCCTCCTGCCCGCTGCCCCATATCCACAGGGACAGCTCGGCTCTGGTCACTCGATGCTGCACCACCTTGTCCGAGAACTTGAAGTAGAGCACGTCCAAGCTGCCCTTCGAATGCCTCAGCCTCTGATCTGAAACCGAACCGTCGAATGATCGCTCGCAATCGGTCCTACAATCGTACTCTTCTCCGCGAGCAAACGAGCCCTCTCCGAGACGTCGCTCGTCGCTCGTCGCGCGTCGCGCGTCGCTCGGGAGTCGGGTTCGAGACGTCGATGTCGGACGAGATCGAATCGACCGATCGGTACGATCGCGGTGCGGCGGCATGGCATCCTCGTGCTCCGCGATTGGCAATAAATCAAGAACAACCGGCGCGGCGGCGAGAGAAGTCGAGTTTCTTGTCCACCGAGAGAGAGAGAGAGAGAGAGAGAGAGAGAGAGAGTGAGAGAGAGAGAGAGAGAGGCGGACAAAGGCAGACCGAGAGTGGCTCGGTGACGCACGTGCGTCCGACATTTATCCCGACGAACGATCAACGATCAACGATCAACGATCAACGATCAACGACGAGCGACGGCGACCTACGGCGTCGCCGATCTCCGCGATCGCCGAGAGAACAACCGAGGGAACAGCCGAGAGAACAGTCGGGGGAACAGTCGAGGACGCGAAAGGAGAAGAGGAAAAACGCCGAAGCAGATTTATATACGCGTAGGGAAGCGCCTTAGCCCCGGTCGACTCTATTCGGGTCATCGCTCGCTCCGAGACCGCTTCCATGAAGGGTAAAACCACCTGAAATCGTACCGTTACGCGAACCGCTGGATTTTTCCATGAACCGATCCATCGATCGACCTTTGGTACTCGATGTCCCTTCTAAATGGACTCGTCCCGGTATCCGATTCGCTCGAATCGAACCGGATCGCGATCTAGACCGTCTCCGCCCCCCTTTTCCAGAAACGTCGCGAAATGTCGCGCGTTTTTGCCGCGGCATTTTTACGGAACGCTCTCTACGAAAACTGGGTTGTCGATCGCCGATCCAGTTCCCGATCGATCCGATTCCGAAGGATCTCCCTCGAGGGAACGATCGTGCCAGACCGTTGAATAATTACGGGAGAACGGGTCGGCCGCGCTTTTCGTACTTTGAACGACGCGACGCGACGCGACGCGACGCAGGATCGGCCGCGGAGTATAGGGTATATCGTTGTCATTGTCACTCGAGCTGTCACGTTCCTCGCATCGCGTACGTCCAATTTCCCAAGACTTATCCCGAGATAATTAGTTATCGGAGAGACGCGACGCGTCGCGGCTCGGCGCGTCGAGTCCCACGATTTCCCGAATTCGACGGGTCGCCGGAACTCCGCGTCAGGAACCGCCATGGAAACGAGCAATTATCGTTCCCGGAGACCCGACCGTGCCCCTCTCCGACAGCCTCGAGTCAATTTATCGCGACTAATTGCGCGAATTCGCCGGGTCGACGTCGAGCTCGCAAGCTTGTTTCGACCGCGACGAGAAATCCGAACGGTTTCTCCCGAAAATTCCAGCCGTCGCGGTTAATCGGTTTACGGGGGACGCTCCGTCCGCGTCCCGGCCCTCTCCTCTTTCCCTCCATAATTCATCTCGCTCGAAGAATTCTCGATCGAGTTAACCCGGCGCGCGTCGAGGCTCGTCGCGACTCGCGATCTTCCGTCGGCAGCCGTTTACAGCGGCCGCCGTCTACGCGCGCCCCACCCTCCGATATCGCGGAAACATGGATCGAGTCGAAACGCGACGCGTAATCCTCGACACGATAACGATACCGAACTACGATAACGGAGAGCTAGAGGTTCGAAGGAACGCGGCTCGATAACCGCGCGATATCGACGCAGACGAGCAGGCCTACGAGACTCGCAGGTTCCCGCAATCTGTTCCTCCCATCGTTCCTGTCCTTGAACCGCGCCGCGCCGCGAATCATTCTGCTGCTCGAAACGATCGACCGGCCGAGAAACGTTCGTCGGATCGTCGCGAATCCGCCAACATATTTTTCGCGGGTGGCAACGTTTTCTTCTAGGGGTCGGACAGCTGTTGCTCTTTGTAGCCGGAGAGCAGGCAGGTTCGAGACGCGCGGTTCGCGGCGCGCGGCCCGCGGCTCGCGGCTCGCTGCTCGCGGCGCGCGTCGCGCCGAAAAATCTCGACGGAAAGATGGCAATTTTATTTTGGTCCAGACGCGGCTACCGACCGTCTAGCGTCTGTCGCGAGATCTTTCAGACTATATTTAACCGCGAGAGCTCGGGGAAACCACCGCCTCTGGATTTCGAAGAGAATAAGTCTACCGTGGATACGCTATCTCGGCACGCTCTTCGATAGGCTACTCTCGAAATTCGGGCAAACACGTTGCGAACAGCATTCTTTTGCACCGGCTACGTTGACAACGCGTTCCCTCTGGACCGTATATTACGAGCAACGATAACGAAGAGAAAGTATAAACCGCGTGGAACGAAACGTGGAAAGATCGATCGCGACCATTTCGCGATTCGATCCCGAAACCGATCGATGCCGATGATTTGTTCTCAGAATTTGGCGTCGTGTTTCGGGCGAAAGCAGACGAAGGGTTGCAACGTTGCACCGTTGCAACGTTGCAACGTCGGATCGTCGAATCGCTGCAGCGTTGCAGTGTTACAACCGCGGCTCGAAAACACGTGGCGCGGCGCGCGCATTTTAAATCCGGCGAGGACGAGAGACCGGACGCAAATAAATTGGTAGAGCGAGCGCGACAGAGGAAGGAAAGAGGCCGGCTGCTCGCACTTGGAAAAGCAAGGAAAAAAGCCTCCCGTCGGAGGACGAGGACGGTCGAGCATGGAAGAGAGACAGCCCGAGAAAAAGCGAGAGAGAGAGAGAGAGAGAGAGAGAAAGTGTCGGAGAGTGGGAGAAAGAGCAAGAGCAAGAGAAAGAGAAAGGGGAAGACAATAAAGCCAAAGCTAAAGCACACTAAGCACACCGTGACTTCGCCACGCGGAGACAGATAAATATAGTTTTGGCGAACGGAGGTCACTCGCACTGCTCGGCCACGCCGCAATCAACGTTATCTAATTTCTCGAAAAACGATTAATCGATCGGTACGCCGGGAGAACTTCTCGATCGCCGCGGGTGGAGAAAAACGGACAAAAAGTCAAGGATTTTTCGCTCGCGGATATTCAGAACGAGTGGAAATGATGGAAAACAACAGTGATACCGCGGTGTCGTGGCCCTGCCTATAAATAAATGAAGAAATAATTGATACGAGACGCCCCTCCGCGCCCCTCCGCGTCCCAATCGGTATCCACGGCCGGTCGCACCCCCGGTCGGCCGCGCTTTTCGCTATCATTCGGTTCGGTTGTTTCGCTCGCAACGCAGGCTACACAGCCGAGACGGCGACGGTGGACGTCTCTCGTAAGGGCGACGACGTTTAAAAATATCGCCGAGACCGCGACGAATCGTCTAGCAGCTGCGCATGGCTGCGCATCGCTGCGCATGGCTACGAATCGCGCGCGATTCGACGCGTGCTCGCTCCTGTCCGACCTGTCGAAATTCAATACCGCGAAATCCTCGCGAAATCGTTCGGAACTTCCGAGCCGCCGCGATCTCGATCGATTCCTAGGAATATCGCCGCGTCTATCGACGTCCCGTGGGCGGAGAAACGTTCGTCGAGAGTGCGGGACGCGGGACCGGAAAGCGAGGGGACACGGAAGGGTGGCGAGAACTTTGCGTGAGCCTAGGCTGTACCTACGACTACGACTACGTCTGCGACTACGACTACGACTACGACTACGACTACGACTACGACTACAACTACGACTACCTTCCCAAGAGCGTTGAACCCCGAAATTAATGTTGTAATGCACTCCCGTATCTTCGTCCCGGGTCTCCGATCCCACCCTATCCCGTCCCGTCCCGTCCCGTTCCGTCTCACCCGTTTAGTCGAAACTCGCTCGATAACGTGCCCTCTGACTTCGACTTGGGAATACTTAATTGCGCCAACGATCTTCGGCTCGAATACCTGTCGAGGTGAACGACCGATCGCGAATCCCACGCGCGGGCCACCCCGACCTTTTCCATTTTCTGACAGTCGAATCGAAAGGCGTGTGCGCGCTGCTCGGTGTTGTCGACACGCTGGGGTATCGAAACGCCTCGAAACGCCTCGAAACGCGGCGGTTATGTGTGTCGGACGGCCGTAAAGGCGGTTAGCGGAATTGGTTCTCGTGGCGATCTAAAGCACGTTAACGATCCCGGGACATGGTAATCGGGCGTGGAATCGGCGATAAGTTTAATTCGGCCGCGTTTGGCTCGAAGAAAATCACCCCGTGGCCGTATCTGCGAGCACTTATCGTATTTCCGGTGGTCGTTCAGCGGGACCGTGTTTTCCTTGTAAAGGGTCCGCCGCGAAGGGACCGGTCGGAGCTGTTCGAAGCTGCTCGGGGCTCTGCTTTACGCGGACACGCCAGAAACCGGACGTAAAAACTGCCGCCCTCGAGCAATTTGCATCGCGTGACGAACGCCGCCCTGCAATCGTGACTGCACTTCGACAGTATAACAGCGTAACTCGATAAAATTCGCATTTGGGTCACGCGTCTCCCTCTTTCCTGCTCTCCCCTGCTCTCTCATGCACTCTCCTGCTCTCACCTGCTCTCTCTCTCTCTCTCTCTCTCTCTCTCTCTCTCTGTTTCTCCGTGTTTCTCTCCACCCCTGCCACGACCCATAGCTCGCTCTTTCTCTGGTTCTTTCGCTTCCTGTCTCGCCCGTGCTCCCGTACTCCCGCTCTTTCGTTGTTCCGTTCTCCTGTTCGCCGCTCGCAAAAGGATCCTACGCGTCGGGAATCGCGTGCGTTCGAGAAACGCGGACGCGGAGGCACCCCCTTCGAATCGAAACGAACCGAATCGAGTGGAAATGGAACGAAACGAAACGAAGCGAAGCGAAGCGACGCGACACGCGGGGGCAGCCGGACTCGTAGAAAGTAGAAACGCCTCTCGTTGCACCCCGTCGACTTTCCTGCGCTCGAAATCGACCAACGGAAGACAATTATCGGCGATAACGCGACTCCATTCCGCGAACCAACCTCGTTTCCGCGATTCGAGATTCTTCTATCGCTCGCCTATCGAAGGGTTATTTCGCGGCTCGCGTAGGGACGCGCCGACAACGGCGATATCGAAACGCGAGACCCCTTGATTTTTTATCTCTGCTCCCCTTTGCGCATTTAAGAATTCGATCTTGCACGCTGCACGTCATCCATAGAAGTCATTCGTCGAGTTAGGATAACGGCAATGATTTTGTAACTCCAAGCATTGTATTTCAGTATTCTGTCTTTTCCTATCGCAGCGAGTCAGTTCGACGGGTATTACTTTCTACTTTGTTCGCGTTCGCAACACGGAGAGTCCGGCCAGTTAAAAATAAATAAATTAATGGAAAAGATGAGACGGGACGAGGCGAGGCGAGATGAGATGAGATCGGATGAGATCGGATGAGATGATACGAGATGAGAATCCGCGCAAAAGGTAGCGGTAACGCGATACGATCGATCTAATATTGTAGGTACACGTCCAGCCAAGCGATAATACCCATCGAATTGTTATGTAACTCTAGTAGTCCTTAAATGCGCTCGCGTTGCAACGCAGCACCGATATTCGCGACTGCTAATGCCTCCGAGAGAGTCAGGAACACGACAAACTGGTTTTCTGGATCGGCGCTACCGTCCGATCCGATCAATCGGTTACATACGGATCTATCGACGGCCGATCGATCTAGATCGTCGACTAAATATCTGCCGCTGACACGGCTGCGATGGATCTTTCTCGCGAACGCGACCAGAATCGCTCGCTGCTCGTTCCCAAACGCGAGCTTCTCATCTCCGTGGACGCGAGTCCGCGCCGAGAGCAACCTTTTGCATCGGAAACGAATCTTTGTTGGAACGCGAACGATTTTGCAACGGGCATCGAAGAGAAGCTTGCGAAACGATAGCCGATGCGCCGCGAGGCTGAAGGGATCCTCGAAAAAGGTAGAAACGTTCGAAACGCGCGGCATAAAATGAGAATCACTGATAGCACGGCGCCTGTCTGCGAGTATGCTGACCGCAGTGCCACTAACTGCACTGTCATTATTCAACGGCTTATATATCCGTTTCAGATTTATTAATTTCGCCAGGGCAGGTGTACCGGCGACTACCTCGAGGAAAGAAAAACAGCTCTCGGGACAGATATTTCTCGGCATCCAGGCACCCAGGAACGGTCCACCGGAACGTTTCGACCAGAATATTCGCCTCTCGATCGGTAATCGCTCGATCGTCCGCAACCGTATAGATCGTAGGCGGTTCGACGCAACCGTCTCTCGTCCCAACGCGATTCCAAAGGCCTCGTTGTTCGGTGACTTCTCGCTACCGTATTCGTTCGACGGCTCGGACGTTTCATCCGAATCGGTAGACATCATCGACGTCTCCTGTATTTCTTCGAACGGACTGTGCGCGCCGGTTCGTAGGCGCTCGATCGAGCGATCGAAGAATCAGCCGGTTAATCGGACCAACAAAATAGCCGATGCGCTTCGAAATGCAGCGATTTACGGTTCTACGATCGCGATCCTTATCGCGGCTCGAGCCGAAACCGTGGTCGAAAATGCGGAGAGACGAAAAAACGAGCAAATCGCGAAACCGGGGGACCTATCTACGCGCGCGACCGCGTGGGGCCGCGGGGCCGAAGCCGTTTGCGAAAAGAAGCCTCGAGAAGAAAAACGCGCTCGTCGAATCGCCAAGATTCCGCGAGATCGATCCGTCTTCGGCGGACGAAATCTTCGGGCACGTTCGAACCAGAACGAATCGGCCTCGAACCGTCGCGAAGGTCAGGGCCGGTGCACAGCCTAGGTCAGGCCCATCGCTGTTAGAATTCTTATACTTCTCAAGGTTGCGCAACGGGAACCTCTCTCTCTCTCTCTCTCTCTCTCTCTCTCTCTCTGAGCAACGGTCTCTTCGGTGTTGGCGCCACACCGACTGTGCTATCCGCGAGCTTGCGTCCGAAGCGCGTTAGCAAGAGCGGAACAACGGAACAATGGAACAACGGAACAACGGATCGGGATATCTCGTCGTGGCGATCGAAAATTGATATCGCGTGGGAACGCGAAACCTGTCGTGGAATCGCGAGTGTTCTCGGCCGTCAGCCGTCAGCCGTCAGCAAACGAGCCGTGATTCGCTCGGCACAGCGAACGTTGACAAAATTTCCCTGGGAACGGATACCTGGACTTCCGGTTGCGTCCTGCACGTCGAACCGGTGCTTATTTAACGCTGCGCCCGCAACGGCGACGTTGCAACATCCACGGGGACGATGATAAAAACGTCCTTTCCACGGCTCGCATTTTATAACGCACGGGAGAGAGAGAGAGAGAGAGAGAGAGAGAGAGAGAGAGAGAGAGAGTAAGGAGAGCGAGGAGAGCGAGGAGAGCGAAGAGCGCAAGGAGCACGAGGAGTGCCAGGAGACCGTGAGGCGAGGATCGATCGATCTCTCGAGGACGACCTACAAAAAATCGACGTTCGGTCGTTTCACCAAACGAGAGATCACGGTGAATAGGGGGCAGGAGGGAAAAATACGGAGAAAGGACGGCAAGAATTCGTGAAACGAGAGAGAAAGAGAGGGAGAGAGAGAGAGAGAGAGAAGCGGACCCACGGGAGAAAACTGCGTGGGAATAAGAGAAAAACGCATCGAAGCCACGAGCCACGGAAGAGGGGGTAACGGGCGAAAGAGCTGCGAAAAGATCGCGGACCGAGCAGTATGCTGCAACGTTGCAGAAAAAACGAAAATTAGGTGAACGGAAGAGGAATGTCGATGTCCGCGGCCGAACGAAAAGGAAGGAGAGTCGAAAAAAGGGGAAGACTCGGGGGACTCGAGCGACTCGAAGCCGAAGAGCCAAACGCCGGAATAGGGAGGTACGAACCGATGCGCGATGGATCGACGGAGATGGATAGAGTCGGAACAGTCGAGGAACACGCGAATATCGAGAGAACATCCGAGAGAGAAAAAACAAAGTTCGCACAATGCGAATACCAGAGAACGGCCTGCAACGGGTTCCATGTTCCAAGCTGCAGGTCCGAGGTTCCAGGCGTTCGACGAACGATATGGGTCGCCCAAGGCGATAACCATCCGCGTTTTCGATACCCGTTCGCATCCTCCCATTACTCCCGGATGCTGTATCGACGCAGACATTCGGCGGCCGCCCGAATCGGTCCAACGATTCGCTAGCTTTCGCAGTGGGTCCCGCTCGAACGTTTTATCGCTTATTTATTTGTATTTAAATCGTTTCGCTAATCTGCCGGCCGATAAGGAGACACGTAACTTTCGAAACGTCGCTCGATTACTTCGGTCGAAATTCATCCTCGTCTCGTCGAGCGTGCGCGCGCGCGCGCGAGCGGTTCGATCGCGTTCGCCTTGTCCTTCGCCTTTGAGTCGCGGCCGGCTAGTTTGGCGCCTAGCTGGGCGCCTAGATTCCGACGTTGCGAAAACGCGTAAATGCGAAAGCTCGCGAATGCTTGCCCCGCGATAGACAGGCTTTCGACGGGAGGTAGCCGATTCGACTCGACGCGTCCTTTGCCTTGATCGAGGACTTTGCTCGTGTTCGTTCTCGCGGCCCGCTCCTCCCCTATTCAGCGGCGAGAGCCTGCCGATTCGTGTCTCTTCTCGTCGAGTTTCCGATAAATTTATAAAATCGCGATCGAGCATCCTTCTCCTTCGACCGAAAGTGTCGGATTCATTGAACGAGTTGTCCGTAGTGCGAATCGATTGACCGTGAATCGATCAGCCGCGAACCATTGCGTAAAACGATTTCGAAGGTGCCGTCAGTCGACAGCCGACAGCCTACGGCCGACATCAGAGCCTGCAGAATCGAGGAGAAAGGATGAGGAGCAGGAGGAGGAGGAGGAGGAGGAGAAGGTGAAGAAGAAGAAGAAGAAGGAGAAGAAGAAGAAGAAGAAGAAGAAGGAGAAGAAGAAGAAGAAGACTGGCGGGAAGGTGGAGCTCGATAAGGCCCATTATCTCCTCGCAACCAGCCCTCGAAGCCTGAGGGCAAGAGATCGAATTTCAAATCGATCCCGGTCGGGCAGAACCCACACGACGACACGACCGGGGAAGCCTGGAACATCGTTCCGAACAACGGACAAGGCAAAGGGTTCGCCCGAGCGAATTTAGCGTCCCAGCGTCCCGAACGCGCCACCCTTTTTCTTCTCGTGTCAAGACCGTGTTCGAGAAGAAGTTCGAACGTTCGCGGTTCGCGGGTCGGAAACAACCCGATGCGCGTAGCAGGGGTTAAATAACGTTGATGGAAGATCGAGTAAAAGATTCTCAGTCGGCTTACATAATTACTTTTACGGCTCGGCAGAGGAAGAATACGAGCAGTCGAACTGCGCGTTTCAATTGAGACTACAATGTTACAAATTGCGGTAGCACGATATCGCGGATCGGTTGCACGGATGTCGAAAGGTTAATTCTGCTGTTGCCGAGGAAAACACGCCGTCAGCTGCCACGAGCGTGGCTTCGCTTCGAAGTAGACGCAGTTCCGTCGCGATTCGCGCGACGACGATTGCTCGAATAACGGGGATAGCCATGGAAAGAAGGCCGAAGCGAAGCCGAAGCAAGGGCGAAGCGGAGGCGAGCAAAGGTAAATAAAAACGAGTGAAAAGGATTGGAACTTACGTGGCTGGGCCAGGGCGAACACGCTCTCGGTCTTGGCGGCGTATTCGTCGATTTCCTCGTGGTGCGTGATGCCAGGCTCGAGGGGCTGCGGCTGGTCCGCCTGCATCCCGTACATGTCCATCAGCTTGGAGATCGGCGGGATCCTCGGCAGTGCCCGGCCGGTCATGTTCGGCGCCTGCTTCAGCCCGAGCTTGGTCAGAATCTGACCCTTGATGGCTTCGAGGCTGAGGGCCCTGATCTCCTCGTGCATCCTACACGTGTTGCAGGCGTTCACGGCCATCGCCGTGAACCTCACGGGGGCTCTCTCGATGCCGGGCGCGTCGAAGGCACCGAGGAAGATCAGCGAGAGTAGCAGCAGCGCCCTCCTGACCATCTTGCTCAAGGTCACCGTTAGTCGGATCGGTTCACGATCGGCCTTGGTCGCAAACGGAACGATCAGGTGCTCGGCCTCATCGTGCTCGCGCCTTTGCCGATTCCTGCTCCGTCAGCGTGCCCGGATCCTGGATCGCTGGATCCTCCCTGGATCCTCGCTGGATCCTCCCTAGACCAGCCCGGCCGCGCTTATCTCGCGCGGATTACCCGGCGGTCCTTCGCCGCGGATACGCTGGTTCCTCTTCCTCTTCTTCTTCCTCTTCTTCTTCCTCCTCCTCGTCTCCCTCCTCGTTCTCCACTACCTCCAGCCTCGACTCTTCTTCCGTCTCCTGCTCGGCCGCGATGCGGTTCTTCTTCCGTGACTTATCGCGCGATATCGGCCTCCCGCGAGCCCACTCGCGAGGTCCTAGGGTTCCTCGTTCGGGAACGCGCAGCTCGTCACCGCGTTCAGAAGCCGGAGCGGACGCATCACCCGATTTAGGCTATCGGACTCGATCCACGATCGCGATCTACGCTCTCCTGTGGTGTCTCTCCCGCTCGTCTTCTTCTTCTTCTTCTTCTTCTTCTTCTCGCTCTTGTCGGTTCCGTTCCTCCGGTTGTTTCCCCGACGACGAATGCGGCGAACGCGCGGAAACGCAACGGAGCCGCCGTGTTCCCGTCGAAAGAAGTCGAGCCCGGTAACGATGGAAACTGTTCGATTGCTCGAGACAAGAGTGCCTCCGCTCCACTCTTCTGTCCGTTGCTTCCGTTTATCCTGCTCACCGTACAAAATCATTTACCATAGTCACTCACTAGAAGCACTAGATGCAAACAGACAAACCGGGCAGAAGGACATCCTGAAAATCACATTGCACTTGAGGGCGATGCTCTGTCGCTCGCCGGCTCTCAAGACCGTCTCTCCTCTCTCCCGCTCTCTCTCTCTCTCTCTCTCTCTCTTTCTTTCTCTCTCTGTCTCCCTTGCTCCGCGGGACTCTCCTTCGGTGTCCTCCTCCTCCTCCTCCACCTCTCCCACCTCCTCCTCCTCCCCCACCCCTTCGAAACGTAACGAAACGAAACGAAACGAAACGGTCCGGTGAACCCTCGTGACCTCCGTTCCAGCGCGAACTTTAATCTCGACACGCGCGCGCTACTGATACACTCAGTTTACCGGTGCACCGCGCGTCTTCCCAAACGTGTTCCCGAACGTATCATGGCACCGCTGCTGTCACAGGCCGCCGATCCACGTCTCCTCTTCCATCCCCTTTCAGAATCTGGCTCGGGATCCCTTGGTTCCGTCGTTGTCCCTCCGTGAAGTCCTTCCGGTCCGCGACTCGTTTCCGCGGAAGATCACCGCGTCGATGCGCGTCGATGCGCGTCGCACCGCGTAGCACCGCGTAGCACCGCGTCGCACCGCTTCGACGATTTCAACGGTTTCGACTGTCCCGACTCTCTCCGATCTATCGGACAGCCTCGGCGATCAGCTGGTTTCGACGCCGGCGAAACGGACGGGGAAGGATGGACGGTGAAAGCGCGATAAACGGAGAGAAACGGAGAGAAGAAACGGGGAAGAAGAGCGTGGGAGGGAGGTGGCTGGCAGGTCAGAGGTCGCGGACGGGTCCCGGAAGGAAGACGGATACTCGCTGCGATCCCGCCTAGCCTCGAGGAAGGAGAGGACCGGCGAAAGGTGAGAGAGGCGAAAGGTGTGCGGCGAGAGACGAGAGGCGAGAGAGGCGTGTGGCGTGAGGCGAGAGGCGGGAGGCGGCTGGTGGGAGGCGAAAGGCGAAGGGTAAGAGGCGAAAGGCAAAAGACAAAAGGCAAAAGGCAAAAGGTAAGAGAAAAGACGAACTGCTCTACTCTGTTTGCGTGTACTCGCGTGGCAGTGGCAGGCAGCTGGCTTTGCTGGCGAAGCGTGCCGTGCCGGTGAAACCCGGTGGATCCTAAGAGCTTGCTGGCTTGTCAAGCACTGAGTCAGGAGGCGCGCGTTCTCACCGCATATATGTCGAGGCGGAGGCCTCCTCCTCTTCTTCTTCTTCTTTCTTCTTCGCTCCCTCTATCCTTCGCTCTCCGGCTGTCTTTCTCCTTCGCGCGCGCTCCTTCTCGTTCCTTCTCCCTCTCTCTCTCCCTTTCTCTCTCTCTCTCTCTCTCTCTCTCTCTCTATATATATATATATATATATATAGAGAGAGAGAGAGAGAGAGAGAGAGAGAGAGAGAGAGAGAGAGAGAGAGAGAGAGAGAGAGAGAGAGAGAGAGAGAGAGAGAGAGAGAGAGAGAGAGAGAGAGAGAGAGAGAGAGAGAGAGAGAGAGAGAGAGAGAGAGAGAGAGAGAGAGAGAGAGAGAGAGAGAGAGAGAGAGAGAGAGAGAGAGAGAGAGAGAGAGAGAGAGAGAGAGAGAGAGAGAGAGAGAGAGAGAGAGAGAGAGAGAGAGAGAGAGAGAGAGAGAGAGAGAGAGAGAGAGAGAGAGAGAGAGAGAGAGAGAGAGAGAGAGAGAGAGAGAGAGAGAGAGAGAGAGAGAGAGAGAGAGAGAGAGAGAGAGAGAGAGAGAGAGAGAGAGAGAGAGAGAGAGAGAGAGAGAGAGAGAGAGAGAGAGAGAGAGAGAGAGAGAGAGAGAGAGAGAGAGAGAGAGAGAGAGAGAGAGAGAGAGAGAGAGAGAGAGAGAGAGAGAGAGAGAGAGAGAGAGAGAGAGAGAGAGAGAGAGAGAGAGAGAGAGAGAGAGAGAGAGAGAGAGAGAGAGAGAGAGAGAGAGAGAGAGAGAGAGAGAGAGAGAGAGAGAGAGAGAGAGAGAGAGAGAGAGAGAGAGAGAGAGAGAGAGAGAGAGAGAGAGAGAGAGAGAGAGAGAGAGAGAGAGAGAGAGAGAGAGAGAGAGAGAGAGAGAGAGAGAGAGAGAGAGAGAGAGAGAGAGAGAGAGAGAGAGAGAGAGAGAGAGAGAGAGAGAGAGAGAGAGAGAGAGAGAGAGAGAGAGAGAGAGAGAGAGAGAGAGAGAGAGAGAGAGAGAGAGAGAGAGAGAGAGAGAGAGAGAGAGAGAGAGAGAGAGAGAGAGAGAGAGAGAGAGAGAGAGAGAGAGAGAGAGAGAGAGAGAGAGAGAGAGAGAGAGAGAGAGAGAGAGAGAGAGAGAGAGAGAGAGAGAGAGAGAGAGAGAGAGAGAGGGAGAGAGAGAGAGAGATATATATATATATATATATATATATATATATTTCTCTCTCTCTCTCCCTGTCTCTCTTTCTCTCCATCTCCCTCTCTCTCTCCATTTCCCTCTCCCTCTCCCTCACCCAGTTCTCCTCGCGAACGTTCACAACGTCTCTTTCTCCGTCTCTTCTCTCCTGTAGTATCTTACGTATTCGCGTGTAGGGGCCGAACGTATACCAACACCCGCGTGCACCCGCCGACAACGACTAGCTCCCTCCTCCTCTTCCTCCGATTCCTCCACCTCCGTGACACCTCCTGCTTCTCCTGCTTCTCCTGCTTCTCCTCCTCCACCTCCTCCTTTTCCTCCTGCTTCTCCACATCGCCACCTCCACCGGCTCCTTCTTTCTCCTGCACGCGGAGCTCCTCCGCTCTCTTCGGTCTCTTCGCCCTCTTCGCCCTCTTCGGTTTCTCCGACGCCCCTTGATGCCCCGCTACCTGAGCCTTACGCCCCACAACCCCCTCCGTCCATCGGACGAACGTCCTCCCTACTATCCGAGAGATCCTCTCTCTCTCTCTCTCTTTCTCTCTCTCCTTCACCCTCTATACATCGCTTCTGCCGCCATGCCCTGCTCTTTCTCCAGCAATCTCCCTCCCTCCGAGCTCACCTTCCTCCTCTTCCCTTCTCTTCTATTCGCTGCGCTATTCTTTTCTGTTGGCCGATTTTTCTTTTCCATCGTATTCTTTCGAGCCTTCTGCTTTTCCCAGATACCGCATCTTCATCATCTTCTTCTTCTTCTCCTTCTTCTTCTCCACCTCCTTCTTCTTCCAGATTGAGCGCGACGCGCGGCGAGCGACCCTAGTGACCCGACCGCGGCGTTCTCGGGCCTTCCTCTTCCTCTTTCTCCTCGGAGTCCGTTTCGATCGCGTATCGATTTCCACTTCCTCCGATGGGTTCCACGTAGGTCCGAATCGATCGCGGATAGATCGAGGAACGATCGTCGCGCGGAATCGCATTCGGCAAGAGCCGGTACGATCCGGTTGGGGAACGAAGAGATAAATAAACGAGTGCGAATCGCCGATCGGCCCGCGATCCTTTTTCATTCGCGGCCGGTGCCGGTGAGGCAATCCGCAAAATGGAAACTGTGCGCGAGAAATTTCAAGGTTCTTGAAAGTGTACTCTCCGCTGGCACCGCGACTCCCTGCTCCCCGTCCCGCGAGCGATTTAGCATACGTGGAAATTTTAAATTCGATCGCCGCGACCGGCCACGGACGGTAGGCTGCAGTCGTCTGCAATTTCTGCACGGTCATGCCGAAAAATCGATCGAATTTTGATGCGATGCGAATCGAGGACACGCTCGCAGCGCACCGGCTCGATCCGATCCGATCCGAGCCAAACGCTGCCGATGCCGATGCCGATGCCGATGCCGATGCCGCGCGCGATTCGCCGGTCGAGATAGCGAGCCGAAACCGTGAAAAAAGAAGAGGAGAGCCAGACTACCTTTATTCCGGCGACATTTGAAATCCAAATCGACTTTCAAAAACAATTCAAATCCCCGGTGATCGGGACTCGCGTTCGCGTGCGAGCGCGAGCTCGAGCACAATGCACTGTAACTGTGACGCATTGGAAAACAGCGAAATCGGCTATTTTTACATCGCGTGTACATTACGTTGGCCAACGTTCGCCAAATGCCCCGTCGAATCTCTGTTTCTGGAGTTTCCATTCCGCTTCTCGCTCGCTCGAGGAACCTCGAGTATCGTTTTTCTCCCCGATTTTCCTATCGGAAATTAACGACCGATCGCGACGAGTATTTTCCACTTATGCTCGACGATCGAGAAACACGATCCGCCTCGCTCGGCGAAGCTAGGCGCTTCCCGACTTCGAAACCGATCGACTCGAGATCAATTTAGATCGGGAGAAGATACATTGTCGTTAAACGGTATAATCTCGAGCGCGCGAGCGTCACCGACAGCGATCGAGGGGGGACGCCGACGAAGGTTCAATGCGATCGGTGTCGTAACTTTTCTCGAAATTATACTCCTCTCGTCCGATCGTGCTCCGACATCGACACGGGCGGCATCATCTTCGAGATTACGTCGTCGAATAAAATTTAATCACCGACGCAGCGCAAAGTAATGCAACCCGTCGCCACATTCAGTTCCTCCCTGATGCGATGGTTCGCCGGTGCTTCGTCGGTGCTTCGCCGGCCGATCTCTCCTCGTTTTTTCGCAGCGCCGGGGCCCAACCGAATTAATTAGCATCCTCGGGACAGTGGGATCGGACGCAACGGTTCGATCCATCGATCATTTTCTCTTTGATCTCGGTCGAACCCGAAACGACACCGATACCACGTGCACCGATCCGGCCGCTCGTAAATTCGCTTTCTTTCGCGATCGATATCGCAATTTCCGATCGATCGGGGCTCGATCCCTTTTTATAAATATTAATAGCGATCTCCGGACAACCACAGGCAACAATATCTCCGATCCGTTCTCGATCGCGGACCGTTCGTTTCTTCTCGTGGTTAGATTTAATAACAGCGCCGGATCTCGTCCGCTCTTCTTGTTTCGCGCGATACATAGTCGTCGAACACGGAGCTCGTTACCTAACACTTTCTTTCGCCGATTTACAGATCTTACGCATCCTTCGGTCGTTACAGCCGCGCGTCTCTAGCTCGTAAATATTTATCGCGATAACGATAAACTCTTCCCGTTTGCTGTGCGCGCGTTCGCTGGATCCGACGCGATCGTTCGATCGACCGCTCTATCCGAGAGAAATACCGGGGCAGATTTAATCGACCCGCCAGGAATTTCGTCGGTTTTCCGTCGAAATATTTAACGATAGCCTGCGCCTTGTCTGGCCTGCTCGAGAGGGTAGATATCTCGACGGTGAATTCAGGGGATTCGAACGATCGAAACCGCATCGGCCGCGTACAGGCCGTGTACAGGCCGCGTACAGGCCGCGTACAGGCCGCGTACAGGCCACGTTCCCACATGTTTCCACATGTTTCCTCTTGTCCCACGCGTCGCCGACGTCTGTCATCGGAAGGGCCGATCACGAGGACTGCTGCCTCTGGTCGCCTCTGGTCTCCTCTGGTCGCCTCTAGCGAGCACTAACTGCTTGATAGCAACTGCTTGCAACAGCAGGTGCCCGCCCTTGATACCCTTAGCGCCCAGGCAGCCTGTTAGTTCCCTCGAAAAACCGTCACAGCGACATCCCCGTTCCTGGGGAAAACCCTCTGTTTCTTTTCCGTCGCATCCCGCTAACGAGCTCCATCGTCATTAACCAGGCTTCGATCGTTTTACAACGGAACTCGACTCACCCCCGCGACTCCCGGTGCCGACATTTTCCTAGAATCTTTAACGCGCGAGAATACCAGAAAATCCCACCGNCGCCACATTCAGTTCCTCCCTGATGCGATGGTTCGCCGGTGCTTCGTCGGTGCTTCGCCGGCCGATCTCTCCTCGTTTTTTCGCAGCGCCGGGGCCCAACCGAATTAATTAGCATCCTCGGGACAGTGGGATCGGACGCAACGGTTCGATCCATCGATCATTTTCTCTTTGATCTCGGTCGAACCCGAAACGACACCGATACCACGTGCACCGATCCGGCCGCTCGTAAATTCGCTTTCTTTCGCGATCGATATCGCAATTTCCGATCGATCGGGGCTCGATCCCTTTTTATAAATATTAATAGCGATCTCCGGACAACCACAGGCAACAATATCTCCGATCCGTTCTCGATCGCGGACCGTTCGTTTCTTCTCGTGGTTAGATTTAATAACAGCGCCGGATCTCGTCCGCTCTTCTTGTTTCGCGCGATACATAGTCGTCGAACACGGAGCTCGTTACCTAACACTTTCTTTCGCCGATTTACAGATCTTACGCATCCTTCGGTCGTTACAGCCGCGCGTCTCTAGCTCGTAAATATTTATCGCGATAACGATAAACTCTTCCCGTTTGCTGTGCGCGCGTTCGCTGGATCCGACGCGATCGTTCGATCGACCGCTCTATCCGAGAGAAATACCGGGGCAGATTTAATCGACCCGCCAGGAATTTCGTCGGTTTTCCGTCGAAATATTTAACGATAGCCTGCGCCTTGTCTGGCCTGCTCGAGAGGGTAGATATCTCGACGGTGAATTCAGGGGATTCGAACGATCGAAACCGCATCGGCCGCGTACAGGCCGTGTACAGGCCGCGTACAGGCCGCGTACAGGCCGCGTACAGGCCGCGTACAGGCCGCGTACAGGCCACGTTCCCACATGTTTCCACATGTTTCCTCTTGTCCCACGCGTCGCCGACGTCTGTCATCGGAAGGGCCGATCACGAGGACTGCTGCCTCTGGTCGCCTCTGGTCTCCTCTGGTCGCCTCTAGCGAGCACTAACTGCTTGATAGCAACTGCTTGCAACAGCAGGTGCCCGCCCTTGATACCCTTAGCGCCCAGGCAGCCTGTTAGTTCCCTCGAAAAACCGTCACAGCGACATCCCCGTTCCTGGGGAAAACCCTCTGTTTCTTTTCCGTCGCATCCCGCTAACGAGCTCCATCGTCATTAACCAGGCTTCGATCGTTTTACAACGGAACTCGACTCACCCCCGCGACTCCCGGTGCCGACATTTTCCTAGAATCTTTAACGCGCGAGAATACCAGAAAATCCCACCGATTTCCTCGGCCCTCGATCGAGGAAATATAGATCGATCGTCGGTCGTTGCTGTTTCGATATCTTTGCGTTTCGCAAGACCCGACCTTGGTACGCCCGATTCGTGAGCACGATGATTCATTTGTAATTCGTTTTCAAATCGTGATAAATCGTTGTCAACGAGTTCGCTGACTCATGTAATTGATTTATTTTATTTTATTTTTTCTTATTTCACCTCATTTTATTTCATTCGAACGGAATAACCCATTAGCATACACTGCAATTAATCTCTAATAAATCTATCGAACAAATGATCCGCGAGCCTACGAAAAAATTCAAACACGCGCGCGAGATTTCGATTTCGAGAATCGGCGGATCGAGAGATCGACTATATCGAGTATGCGCGTTCGAGAATCCGAACGATCGAAATGCCGGCGAATCGAATTTATGAATCGGGAGCGGGGTCCCTTGTCGAATAATAGCCGTTGTAATGGTCGAAATCGTCGAGTAATCGATAGGTTGCCGACTTTAACGATATCGGAGATACGCGCAACCGTCGCGACGCCGTTAGGATTAGACCGTCCTCTCAAGGTTTAGTCGAAAGGCGGGATACGAGCGTATATCGGCGGGCGGCGCGTAATTGGCCGAGGCACGCGAATAGTTTCGACGAATTCTTTTGGAAACCGGTGCGCGAATATTTGCCGCGCGTAATTTGCGTAATCGTCGAGCGATTTTCGAATTGCGAAACGATTACGGCGCCCGGCCATGTTGAAATCTTATCGTCGGATCTGCGCCGCGCGGATCGCCGGCGTACATGCGACTGTACGCGGAGAATATACGCATCTCGGTCGATCGAACGAATTAGAAAGGGAAACCGAGCAATCGATTTTACCGTTACGGTCGTTAAACGAAACGTCGAGCTCGCGGCGAGCGATTCAGCGGTAACGATACCGAAGCCGTTTTAGGTTATGGAATCAGCGGTCCGCTCGAAATTGCACTTACCGGGACGGTTCGCGCGGAGAACTGCGATCCTCCGGTGTGTCCCGTTCGCGAGAAGCTGTCCGTTCATCGACGATCCGGTTTCTCCGTCCCTCGATACCGAATCTTGACGATTTCGATCCACCGTCCGCGAACAACGATCGACGATCGCAGCCAAGATCCAGGATCGAAGAAGGCGCGCTAAAACTGCGCCGTACCTTTCGTTTCGACCACCGCGCATTACCGACGCGCACGCCGCGACGCGATTGGTCGATCAACGAAAATTCACGGCCTTTCGCGCGCCCGCTATTACTTACGAATTTACTTTACCAACTGCGATAAAGATTTCTGCGCGGAGCGGCGCGGCGCGGCGCGGCGATTCGATTTATCATTACTTCTAATTGTTCTTGTTCTTCTTCCCTGTCCTTCTCCTCTGGCATTGCTTTTAATATTTGCCACAATTGTTATTTTTCCAATCCTATTCTAATCCTCCAGCGTTTAGACTCCGTTATTCGAATTTCTCTCGTCGATCGAAATAACCCAACGAGATCGTACACATTCTGCTTCCAATTTCGCCAACTAACGAACGTCCTTCTGTCGTCGAACCTGTCAATCGGGAGCACAATAGTTATGCTTGCTCATTTTGTTCGGACAAAAGCAACGATGGAAATAAAGCCCGCAGTCTCGAAGGGTTGGGGAAACCATGAACGTCGCGTTGCTGACGGTGAGCGCGCTATTGCCGTGGAATACGCGTTCGCGAGTGTTCGGTCGCCTAAATAGAATCGTCTTTTTTTCAGATATTTGTCGCGTGTTCCGCGGCGGAAACGTGCATCCGATTCCTGCAAAACTCCGAGGAGAAGACGATCTTTCGCACGATACCTGGACAAGTGTGCCGATGGAACAGATTCGCGCAACAGTTCGAGGAGATCGAGGCCGTCCGGCTGAACGGCACGGCCGTCTGCAGCGTGGGAATGTCGGACGATCTGCGGGGAAAGACCATCGTCGTCGCCACGGACACCGTAAGATCGAGATCAATTTAGCGAATCGACGAATTCGATCGGTCGACGAGTCCAGGCGAAACGTTTCAGATGCACCCCTACGTGACGAGAAGCTCGAACGACGCGTCGGTGAGCGGCTTCATAGGGGACATATGGACGACTCTGGAGCAGGTGCTGGGATTCAGGTGAGAGACGATCGGAGACACTCTGCGAAAGCAAAAAACGCGGAAAGGAGGAGCAAACGAGTCGGCCGAATTTCACGGTTCGCGGCACGGCAAACGGGCACCGTGATGCGAGGCACGGTAAGCGACGACACGACCGGTGACCGATCGAAGCGATAAAGATAAACGACGCTCTCGCCGAAAGACTGTACGCGGAATCTGACCAATTTTCCGTGTACCACCCACACAGGGCGGTCGGTCAAAATACTCGCATGATTCATTCGTCTAGACAGGTATAAATATAGTACCGCTGGGAAAACGGGGGCGGCCGGTGGGGGGGGTGAACAGAAAATAGTGACGGGCCAATGCGTGCACCGTAATAAAGGCGTTTCTTCGTCGAAAATGCAGGACGATTTACCGAAAAGCGGGACCGTCGGCCAGCCAGACGCTGATGAATGGACAGGCTCACGCACTGCTGGTGGCCACGGTGATTTATTCGGACACCTCCGGTTATTACAGTTACAGCACGCCGATCACCACCATCTCGTAAGCCTCGTTCCAAGCCCACCTTCGAATATCCCTGCCCCCGCCGACGACCATCCCCCAACCACGGCTACGCCGCTCGAAACGATCGAGGACATTCCACCGAAAATATTTCCCCGATCGTTTCGAGCGATCGAAAGTCGAGAGGCTACATCGAGCGGAGAGTTCTGAATCGATTACCGATCGTCGCAGATACGCCCTGTTCGTCCAGTCCGACGGAACGAGGGTCTCCCAACAATGGTACACGAACGTGTTCAGCCGAGGTCTATGGTGGACGATCCTGGCGTACACCCTGGCCACCGCTGCCATCGTCGCCGGAACGCGCTGTCTTCGAAAGTTCGCGCGGACCGGCCGGTCGGAGAACGACCGCGAGTTCTCCTCGGCGTCCTTCGACTTGCTGGTCGTCTTGGGCTGTTTGAGCGGTCAAGGTAAAACGCTGTCGCGCTGCTCCGCGACTTCGAAGCTCGAAACGTTCGAGTCTCGCGATCCGTTCGTTTCAGGCTGCCAAAAGGCACCGACCGCCTGGTCCCTCCGACTGATCGTGCTGTCCGATCTGATCGCGGGAATGCTGCTGGCCGGAGGATTCAGCAGCACGCTCACCTCTCACCTGGCGATACGAGGGAACTCGGTCCCGTTGAGCAGCCTCGAGGACGCTTCGCGGAAGCGGAGTCACTCGGTTTGCGTGAGAAACGACAGCAGCGCCTACATTCGCTTCACCGTGGTAACGTGATCGTCCTACGGCCAGTCCGATCAGACTCTGCCACCTTCGACGGTCGCGGCTTGTTTCGTTTCCGTGCACGATGCTCCGTTTTCGGTGTTTAGGACGGATCGCCGAGGGGCGAGCTGAAGAAGGAGTGGAGGGACCTGGTGAACAACGAGTGTCCCGACATGAGGAACGCGACCGCGTTGGACTCGAGACGGCTCTGCGACCGCGGTTTCGCCTACCTGGAGGTTCCGGACGTCTTTCTGCCGATTTACCGGAGAGCTCGAACAGAGTGTCGCATCGTGAGGACGCCCGGCAGCTATTGGAGCCTGAAAATCTCGTTCCTGCACGCCAGATTCGGAGATCACCGGCGTTTGATAGACACCTAGTAAGCAGACCGGCAAGTTCTCGAACGAGTTCCACAGCCGCGACGAAAGAGTGATTCGTAAGTTTTCGTAGCCTGATGCGTCTGCGCTCGGCGGGAATACTAAAGTACCTCGAAGCGAAGTGGACGTCGAAGGGAACGGAGGACTCCGAGGTGGATCGGTCGACCTTTCGACCGGTCGAGTACGCTCACGTTCATCCGTTGCTTCTAGGACTGGTCTACGCGACGCTGTTCAGCTCGCTCGTATGCGTCCTCGAGAATCTTTGGTACGTCGGAGTCTCGCGACGAATCAACGCTCTCGCTCGTTATTGAATTTCTTCTTTATTTGATTTACACGTGCGTCATTGGTAAATATCTCGAATAATGTATAGCATTGGATGGCGCGACTCGGAAGAATCTCGTCGCGCTCTAAGAACTACTCGCACAAAATTGATCGATGATCGATCTCGCGCGATCGATCGCGCCGCTGCGCGGTTCGCTGGCGGTGTAGCTAATCGACGTAGCGCACAAGGAAAAAAGGCTCTCCGTTAGTTCGTTATCTCACAGCAAACCAGTATAAAAAGGAACCGCTCGAAGCATCTCGCGCGCTCAAAAGTATACGTAGAATATAGAACGTCAGCGATATTCGGCTCGGCCTCTATCGACTATACTCAACGATATTCTGAAACAATGAAAAATAAAGATTCACGGCACATGGTTAACAGACGTATCGATTACAGTGTACTCGTTTCGAAAGACCTGCGATATCGCTCCGATTCGCTTCTCGCACGCGCTCTCTGCCTCTCTCTCTCTCTCTCTCTCTCTCTCGCACGCACACGCTCGCACACGCTCGCACACACCGCCTCTCTTTTTGTCTTTTTTTTTTACAGTAGTTTGATTAAAAGATGGGTTGATCTGCTGTCGGCATCGTCCTTTTGTACAAATAATCCCTTAAATTAGACAACATGTAATTTAGATAGCATCTGCGCGCGTTGCCCGCGATCCTCGACGCGAATCGATTGGAAAGACGTTCGATTTGGCAGATCGACGAGCTCGCGCGACAGCGATACGCGAAACAATATACACACACACTTAAGCACATTGAAAAATACTTCGTCTCGACGCGTATTCGCAGCATGTCCGCGCAGTATCGCGCCCCCCTAAATATTAACGTTCTAATTCTTCTCTAACTAGTAGTCCGTAGCCTGTTTAAAAAATTAAATTTCTTAAGCTTAACGCTAGATCCTGCCTGCAGAAATTACAGCGCCGCGGTCCCGATCGTCGTGGCTCATCGAGATCGTATCGAATCTTTTCGATCGCGAGCGAAAGCAAAGTAAATCGACCGTCCCCTCTTTTCTCGTTGCTCTATGTAGACTCGTAGAGTAAAATGGTACACCTGTTGTCTCGCCCGTGAACGTTCGCGGTGAATTTTAACTGGCTTTTCGTGTTTGTAAACGTATACTCGAATCGATTGACAATCGGATAATACTGGTTCCAAGTATAAAAGTGAAAAAGGCCCTTTGTCGCTCGCGAGAGCCGCGTCCGTGTTCGGAACGCGGTGTTCGGGCAACCGCGGTCGTGTCGGTCACCGCGAAAGAAGTCGGCTGATCCCGATGAACCACTGCGAGCATCTCGCGTACATTTAGCCGGAAAGTGTCGCGTCCCGGAGTACGTTCGACACAATTATACGTAAGAAGAGGATCGATATGCACGGCGGTCCCAGGGCCGCCGAGGACACGCGCGCAAAACAGAATGCTGCACCGTGTTTCGGGACGTTCGACGTACTCGAACCGGTGAGATCATGGACCTGGATCGGCATAGAAAACTGCGAACCCCCTTCTAGCGTTCGTTGGAAAAACTTCGGCTCTCGACTCTCGATTCTCCGCTCTTCGCTCTTCGCTCTTCGCTGTTCGCTGTTCGCTCTTCGTTCTTCGCTGTTCGCTGTTCGCTGTTCGCTGTTCGCTGTTCGCTCTTCGCTCTCCGCTCTCGACATCGGCTCGCTCTGAAATCTCTCGCCCTAGGGCCTGCCCGTTGCCCATTCTAAAGGCTCGCGAACCACTTCGGACCTCGTCGTCGACGGGACACGGAGCAGCTTGTAAGGGCCAGCGATCGCTGACGTGCGATTGAAATCTCGTGAAAAACCTTGTTACCAGACCTCGCACTTGTGGACCGGATTCATTTTCGAACCTTTTGGACAGTTGAACTCCGAGGCGAATTCCGGCAGGTTCGACAGAGGTCCGATCACTCTGTACTTTGGCGGACAGTGAGAATCTTTCTCGATTTGTAGAGCTATCGCCTCGGACGTGGCAGCGGAACACCAGACCTGTTCGCGCGAATCAAACCGGCTCGATTATTCGGAGGAAAAGATCGGTGACCGCGCGCGCGCGTCTCACCTACCTGAGCAAAGTTCAGGAAGAAGAGCTGACGGTGCGTCAAGTTCAGGCCGGGCAGGGGCAGTTGATCCTTGTAAGTTTTAGGCGTGGTGATGTACGCGTGGTACGCGGCTTTCAGGCCTCCGTTGTCCGCGATGTTCTCTCCTGTCGGTCGATCGAGTCGATTAGTCGGCGAATATTCTCCGAGAAGCTCGTATAGAGAAACGGAGACAGAGACAGACGGTGATAGGAGTATTTACCCAAAGTTTGCCGTCCGTTCACGTGTCGGCCGTGGACCTCGAAGCCGTTGTATTGCTCCACGAAGCACTCCGTTCGATTTTTGAACCTGTCTATGGTGGCGTTGTTCCACCACTCGTTCAAGTTCCCGTTCAGATCGTACTGCCTTCCTGGAAGAGAAAACGAGGCATGAGGCGCGCCGCTTCCACGGGAAGACGTCGAAGCCGCTCGGTACCTTGATCGTCGAACGCGTGCGTCAGCTCGTGTCCCATCACTACCCCCATCCCGCCAAAGTTTAAGCTCTTGGGGTTCTCCATATCGTAGAACGGACTCTGCAGAATCCCGGCCGGGAACACTATCTGATTCTTGGTAGGCCGGTAGTAAGCGTTCACCGCGGGCGGTATCATGATCCACGTAGTCTTGTTCACGGGCCTGTCCAGCTTGTCCAGGTTCTTCTTCAAGTTGTACTTGTTTACCCGAATGTTGTTCTGGAAGTACTCGTTCTGCTTGACCGCGAGGTCTCTGTAACGGTCGTCGAGCTCGTTCGGGTTCAAAATAAAATTCGGGAAGCCTATCATGTCGGTGATGGCGTTCGCCTTCTCCTCCGCCGACCGCCTGGTCTCCGCGTCCATCCAGTCGAGGTTCTTCAAGTTCTTGGTGAAGGCTTTGCGCACTTGGTCGATCATCTCCTCCGCCTGCAATCAGCCCCGGTTACATCTACTCGACTATCGTGCTATCTACTCGACGTCTACTCGACCAACCATAGGCTTGCTCTTCCCGTGGAAAACCTCTCGGACGAACATGGCTCCGATCGCGAAGCCCATCGCGTTGCTGGTATCGCTGACGCAGTAACGCCACTGCTCCTCTCGGCCTTCCGAACCGATCAAGGCCTTCCTGAGACCCTTGTAAGCGTCGCGGAACGGCTTCGACAGGTAGCCCGTCAACGACCTCACGGTCTGCCAGACCAGATAGTTGTTCAGCACTCTGCGAAAATAATCGGACGGGTATAATCGATGGAAAACGTTTCACGAGTTCGGCTTTGCCTCGATCGCGCGCTTACATTTTCTTCTCGTCCGTCTTCGTGTACTCCTCCACGAGCTTCGACAGCTTGACGAAATACTCCGGCACGAAGTTCACGATCGTCGTCTTGCCGTAGATTTTCTTGTTGACCAGTCGGGTGGCGTTTTGGAAGTAGGTGATCCAGGACAGCTGGAACCGCGCGACTCGTTAGATCCGTAGCCTGCATAGTTCGCGTATGTTACGTTATACGTACGAAGGGTGCTTTCTCCTGGAGCTGGTTCAACGTCATCGGATTGTAGAGCTTCTCCTCGTCCCGGCGGTCCTCCAGCGGCGTCATGATCTCCGCCAGCCTCGTCTCGAAATCGATCACCTCCTGCATCTGCCGTCTCGTCGAATTCTCTTCTCCGCCCAGCAGCACGCCGATCTGCGCAGAAACTCTGTTCTCACTCTCGATTCGGAGCGTGGCACGCGACTCGTTCGACGCGACTCTACCTTGGTCATGTACTCGAGATAAGCGGTCAACACCTTGCCGTGCTCGGTGACGTTCAAGTAGTTGTCGGCGGTCGGCAAGGTCAGCCCGCCCTGATCGATCTGAAAAAGATCGAGCGGTTTGCTTGATCGAGTTTTCCGACGCGCGATACAGCTAGTTTGTCCGCTGTACGCCTAGAGCAGCGCGCGGCCTTACTTGTATAATGTGCCTGGAGCTATTTCGATCGTCCTCGTTCACCGACCATGTAAACAGACCGTCCATGTTGTAAACGTTCTGCAGGATGTGCATGCTCGTTTGCAGGGACCACGTGGACACGTTAAATTTCCCGGACACGTTCCAGTTGCCGATCGCGTCCAGCAGATCGAGCATCGGCTTCGCGCCCAGGGTCTCTATAGTGTCGTTCGCGTCCATGCACGATAGGAAATAGTTCTTGGCCTTCTTCTCCGCCTTGGACCTCATCTCGCCGATCGACTTTTCTGTTCGCATGGAAAACAGAGCGATGGAAGGAACGTAAAACGTAGAATACGGAGCCGCTCGGCGAGCAGACGGCCGCGTGGGGCCTGGGCAAACCATGGATATTACCGAGAACGTTCTTGACCACCAGCTGATTGTCCTGCTCGAGTTTCCCGAAGGTCCCCCACATGCTGCTCCCGTCCGGTATGGGGTTCTTCTTCATCCATCCTCCGCAGGCGTACCCGTAGAAATCCTCGCAAGGGTCCACCGTGCGGTCTATGCTGTTTATGATGGATGCCGCCACGATGACGCAGTGCTCCGTCAAACAGTGGGTCCCGTCTGCAACAAGAAATCGACGCGACGCTTTGGCGGGATCGTTCTCCGCGAGGATCGGTCGGCCTCGATCTCTCGCGGTCTCGTTACCGTCTCCGTGGGATGTCACGTGGAGGATCTGCGCCTCGTCCCATCCGTCTTTGCTGCTGATCACGATCGACATCATCACGACCATCAGCAAGAGACCCGCGCATACGATGAAGAGGCACCGCTCGAGCGCGCTTCTCGCTCTCCACAGCGACGTCCCCTGCGCGAAACAAACGGGCCGGCTCGTTTAAGCCTGTTAGGAAGCGTCGCGTCGCGTCGCGTCGCAACGCGAAGCGAAGCGTTGCGACGCGTCGACCCTTGGACTCCGCGTCTTATTGCTAGAATCATTCTATTGCCCCCGCTCGGATTCAATAATCGCGATAGTTTGCGCGCGTCACGCGTTCCTCTGAATACAGGGAAACAATCGTTTCTGGCCGGGGAAACGATCGACCGGAGCGCGGCGGTCGGCAACGATAAAACGCGAGATGCCCGAAGAAAGAAGGTGATCGCGATATTTACCTTGATCGGGAAACGTACCGCGCGGTATCTAATGTGCGTCGCCGAGGTACTGATGCCTTCGCTGTGGGGAGCACTGGACCCTATGCTGCTGGTGTCCTCGTCCTCGAACTCCGCCTGCTTGTACATCATCATCTGGAAATCGGGCAATTATGCGTAACGTGTAGATAGACGCCCGCCTCGCTTCTCGAGATGAAAGAAACCGGCGCGTCGGCGGCAGCGGCGAGCACGCTCTGCCTCGCTGTTACACAAGGTCTAGCACGCGAGATAACGTAATTAGTAGCTCGTAAATCTTTTCTAAGACGATTCATCGCCGGAATTTCTCGCGCACGGGAATTATCTTAACGATAAAGTTCCGCGGTTTCCACAATTCTCGCGGCTCCGATACAGACTCTCTCGATCCGACGAGATTAAACGAACTCCTCGCGGACTCCGATCGCTTCTGTTTCTCGCAAACACTCTCGTTTTCCCGATAAGCCGAGCTCGGTGTGGACGACGACGCGACGAAAAATGCGACGAGAGGAAGACGAACTCTGTCGCGGACTGCGGCGCGGCGCGGCGCGGCACGGCACGGCGCGATGCAGCGTCGCTCTCGAATCGCAAAGCTACGCAGTTTCGACGCAGACCGGGCCTCGTCTCGATGCGGGAAATTCGTCGGCAAAATTGTGCCGCGGTTGGTGACACAGTTTTAGACCGCACTAAAAATACGTACCCTCGCGTCGCCGTAGCCCCAAACCGAATGCCAGGGCTACCGTGGCCGGCGAGGACCGCGCACCGGTAGCTCTCGGATCGCTCTCGGATCGCTGGAACAACATAACTTTGCGGGCACGGAAAGCAAGCGTTCGCGAGGATCGACGAAGCCGAAGAGCCGGTCAGGCGATTACGCGGTATCGCGACATCTGCCGATATCCGGAGACGAGAGAGAGAGGCTTTTTCGACGTTCGACGAGGCGATAACGAGGCCGAGCGTGCACGCCGGAACACGACGGAACAAAACGTTCGTTCGTTCCCGTGACACGCTTTCGCTTTCGATCTTCTTCCTCTTGTTTCTCCGCTTCCGGCCGCGCGTCGGAGCCGCGGAGAACGAGTCGCGGGTATTACCGAACGCACCGTATGCACCGCACCGTCTGATCCCGTTCGCGTTATCTCGCGTTCCGCGAGGAGGCACGGAATCGACCCGATAACGAATCGCTGAAATCGTCGATAGATCGCTCGAATGTCTTGGAACTTACGTTGCGTCGGCTGGCTGCAGCAGATGGGAGCGATCGCTCTTGGAATACAAGACGGCCAGGCCCTCGGCGGGCTGGCTATTGTTCGCTGGAACGGAAGCGCGTTGCAACCGGAAGCGCGGAGTACGCGGCAAACATCGTCGCGATAACGCTCGGGCGCGACGAGAGACGGTCCCCGCGCACTATTTACAATTTTCGACGATTCGCCGCGAGCGAACGCGAGTCTTCGAACGCGTCGGCGCCTAGTCGATCGGACGAATCGTCGATCCGAGAACGAGCCAGGTGCTGGATCCACGGATGGTCGACTGGAAGTCGCGAGCACGGTTCGACGGGAGCCCGACGGGTCGCGAGAAGAACGCGACGAAGCTCTTGTCGAAACTGCAAGTCGTCTCTGTGCACGCGTGCATGCACGAGGAGCCGCGTAAGCACGCGCACGCGTATGCAATCGAGCTGCCCGTTTATCCGTTTCGTCACCGACCTTTCGTTCTGGCAGGAAACGAACACTTGTGCCGATGTTAATACAATGAAAACGTTTTTCGCTGCGATGCGCCGGATCCGATCCGATCCGATCCGATCCGATCCGAATCGTTTCGCTCCGTTCCGCGCCAAGATTCGCCACGATTTGCCGCGATTCCCCGCGAGATAGCAAAATTACATCCGTCGAATCTCGCGGAGAAACATTCGAGCTAGGTACATACGTGGTCGCGCGTTTCGCGGCGCTTCGACGCGTTCCGATGCGCGGTGGTACAATGAACCGCGGACGAGGGGATGAAACGGCTCCGAATCGGCAAAGCGACTTAAACGAAACGAACGCAACACTTTCGCTGGTCCGTCGAATCGATCGCCGAATAAGCAACCGCATCTCCCGTCTCGATTGCCCGAAATCTCGCCGCGGCGTATTCTACTTTATAGCCGATCCACGCCGCAAAGTTGCTACGCGGCGACAGCTGCGGTATCATAAGCTGCGGCGAGCCCTAATAAACGTCGCTAATATTAGATCGTAGAAAGATCCGAAGAACGCGCAATATCGGTCGAATGCGCGAATAGGCAAACGGTTTCTCGGTCGCTCGTGACAGCCTCGCGGCTGTCTCGCGAAGCTATCGATTGATAGGACATCCGCGCCTGGAATCGAGTGCCATCATCGGCCATCGCGTATCTCGCCTGCTCGTTTCCAGGGAATCTTGTTCCCAAGGGGCCGGAGGTACCCGCCGATCGATAGCTTCGGTGAACCGACGACGAGTCTCGGGTAACCGACGTTTCGGAAACGCGCACCTTTCGGATCACGATCCGCGGACGATTATCCTCCGCGACATCGACATTACATAACGAATACGCCCACTCTTTTGCGAATCGACGTCGCGCGGAGCTAGAGAAGTTGTCGTCGTCTTCTCGAGAGGGTGTTTTCGTTGTCACTCGTCACCAGGATCTTAGTTTCGAATTCTTTCGAATCGCCTTCGGTTTGCACTCACCTTCACCGACATGTTGCCCGGCTCCGATCTCGTAAACGTCGCACAGTCACTTGAATTATTGATTCACTAGACCGGAAGCGGGGGTAAAAACTGGATCCCCGAACGAGCACCGGAGCAAGCACCGGGCCAACGCAACGGAGCGGAGGGCCAACGGGCCAGCGGGCCAGCGCAACCAGAAGGAACACGGTCGAGGTCGAAGGTCGAGGTTCGAGGTTCGAGGTTCGAGGTTCGATGTTCGATGTTCGAGGTTCGAGGTTCGAGGTTCGAGGGGGGAGAGAGTGAGAAAGAGAAAGAGGGGGGGAGAGAGGGAGAGCCGTGGCAAGGAACTAGGCTCCTCCGCGAGACTATGACATTTTCCAGTCTCGGATTTCGCGGTGGCCGCTGGTCCGCGTATCTGTATCGGTGCCGCCAAGTTTGCGCGGCTGTCTCTCTCTCTCTCTCTCTCTCTCTCTCTCTCTCTCTCTCTCTCTCGTGGGGATGCTTCGACTTCGACGCGCCTCCAACCCCTCTCTCTAGCTATCCTCCTCGTATTGATTTCCGCCGGGTCACTGGGTGACACCTGCCATCTCTTTACCGTCGACCCATGTTCCATGCTACACGCTACAAGCCACGTGCTACACGCTACATACTACGTTCGTTGTACCGTCGTGGTACCGACCCAGCCACCGATAACGGAGCTCGCCGGCAACCGTGCGAAAAAGAGTTTGTCGAATTCGCGTTCCCGATTGATCGCGAATAGTCGGCGCTCGGCCAAATCGGTCACATTTTACCGCGATCTCGTTCGCGTCGTGGCCAAAAAGCGGGTACGCTTCTCCTCTTCTTGTTGTAAAACGTGCGAGCGCGGTGCTCGGTCGCGTTCGTAAATGATCGGGATAAATTAGCAAGAAAATTAGTCGAGGCTCGTCGAGAGAAACTCCGCGAGCCGTCGCCAAGCATTCCCAGCATCGTTGCAGCTTACGATCGCTTTCGATGACAGACCAAGACGAAGAAGACCGAGCGACGGCTGCGACGACTAAAAAATGGCAATCAGTCCGAAGAGCATCGTACGCGTTCGCGTGAATAAATATTTCGTCTTTATTTCAGAAAGACATCCTTCCTCTTTCTCCTCCTTCTCCTCCACCCTCCTTCTCGTCAACCTCCTCGAGCTCCACCAACCTCCTCCACCGGTCGTTAGGTACAATATATCTTACAGTATGATAATACGAATATGATTGCACGTTACGGTCAGAGGATCGCTCGGACTAGTTTATTGGTTAAAGCTATGTAACACGCAGACACTACGCACGCACACAAAATATAGTGATATTCCTGAATCTACAGAAGACCTCCGTGGATCCGGAGCATCGCGTGTCGTTTACCATACGCGTTATAATATGTTCATTTTCAAACGGACAGCGTGGAAACGGCTCGTCCCGTTGTAGGATCGGTTACAAAAAATAATTGTGTACGTATTTATGCATGTATCTATGTTCCTTTGTACGTGTGCGTGTGTGTATGTACGTATGCATGTAGATATGCATGTATGTATGTATGTATGTATGTATGTATGTATGTATGTATGTATGTATGTATGTATGTATGTATGTATGTATGTATGTATGTATGTATGTATGTATGTATGTATGTATGTATGTATGTATGTATGTATGTATGTATGTATGTATGTATGTATGTATGTATGTATGTATGTATGTATGTATGTATGTATGTATGTATGTATGTATGTATGTATGTATGTATGTATGTATGTATGTATGTATGTATGTATGTATGTATGTATGTATGTATGTATGTATGTATGTATGTATGTATGTATGTATGTATGTATGTATGTATGTATGTATGTATGTATGTATGTATGTATGTATGTATGTATGTATGTATGTATGTATGTATGTATGTATGTATGCATGTATGTATGTATGTATGTATGTTTGTTTTTTGTTCGCACGTGTGTAGCCACGTTTGTAAGTATGCATGTACGTGTATGTATATACAATTGTATTAGTACGCGTGTGCTTTCATTATTTTCCATTATTTTCTTTTCCTCCCATCTCACATCTCACTTCATTCCATTCCATTCCATTCCATTCCATTCCATTCCATTCCATTCCATTTTATTTCTCTTAATCTCACTTCATTTCGTTTAAGCTAACGCCTTGGCTGTGCGCGATCGAGCGACCGGTCCACGAGAGAGACTCGGTCACCGGATCATTAATTTACCTAACGGACACGCTATTGGCACGTATGCTGTTTCTTTGGACCGCAGTTACAATCGAGAGAACCTATCGAACATAATTAGAAACGCGACGACGCGAGAACGTTTCGGCGACGTGAAACAATTGTAATCTGGAGAAAGAGAAAGACAAAGACAAAGACAAAGACAAAGACAAAGAGACACGAGAGAAGAGGAAGATACATGTATGCGTTCGCAAGCTGTGGTCGCCCCGAAAATCGATCGGAGCGTAATCGCTTCGATCAGACTCCAGCTTTCGCTCAACTTACAGAGCTCCGTTCGTCTCAACTTATTGAGTACTATGCTCGACCCATTCCCCTTCGCCCCCTTCGTTCGCGTTCCTCGCTGCACGCTATATTAGTAAACAAACTAGAGGCTCTTTCGTAAATTACAATATCTTAAAGTTAATTGGAACAGCGATGGCTTGCCGGGCGTCGAAGGAGATCGAGATTAATCTACGAGATCGTGGTTGCAAGGCAAAACGACGAAACTTCGGTTCATTCGATGTAGGGACGATAGAATTTGCGGGGACTTTTTCGTTTGTTCGAATCAACTGAACGGATCTAAATGAAACGAAACGAAACGAAACATAGGTACACATCGAACGGAACAGATAAAATTAGACCGAAAGACTACGTCGGGTGGGAGAGTTTTAGTCGACTGGTAGGATCGGAATGTAAACTTTCCGATATACGTGTACACGCAAAGTGGTGTGCCGCCACTAATTGTCAGTCAGCGCTGCGATGTCTATAAGGCAAGTTCGGTCGAAGATCCGAGACGTAAAGTAAAAGAAACGTTGCTTCCAAATTGTTTCGCGCAGTTTCGCCTTGTAAGACCACGGAAACGTCGAGATCGCGTGAACGTGCAAACACGGGAAACGAATCTACGAACGGTGCTCGATCGAGCCGGAGAACGGATCGGTTTCGCAGCGTCGGGTTAACGGGCTTACGGTTCACGGTTCGCGATCCCGCGGTTCACGGTTCACGGTTCATGATTTATTTACGATACACGGTATAGAAAATCGCGACGCGGGAGAGACGGTCGTGCGATAAAACATTCCTCCTTACTTAATTAGAACGTTTGATATTAAAAAGTTTACTCGTGGTTCGTAAATGTGTGCGACGATGTGCGAAGATTAGAAAAAGGGTGCGCTAACGAGTCGATTGGCATGCCGATATTAAAATGTAGGACGACGAGAAGTACGGCGTCAATCGACGGTTTTGTGCGTAACCGGAGTTAGTTGAGCCCATTCATAAAAACAGGGACACCGTTCGCGCGTAATTGAGTGCGCGCGTAATTGAGTGCGCGCGGTCAACCGAATGCGACACCGTCGCGTCGCGACGCTTTGCGACGCCTTGCGACGCGGATCGAACGACGAGTCGTATTTTCGAGCAAATCGTTTTCTGGCAGTATCGCGTTCACCAACGAAATGCTGTCGACGGCCGTTGGCGGTCGGGGCGATCTTCTTTCCGTCCCTGTCCACCGACGGCTGAGGAACCAGCTGCTTCTCACGGAAATGAAAACGGTGCTCCGAGTGTTCCCACAGGTTTCTCAGTATAAACGTTTACGAGAATAGTTATTGCATCGATCAGCCCCGTCGTCGCTTGTCGGGCGCGAGCGATTCGGGAATCTGCCGCGTGACAGTGCGGATCGATCGAAAAATAGACAGGATCAACAAGCATTGTAGGTACAACATTAAACGTTTCTCTTAATACGCGACAAGTATACACCGACAAATCGGAGGACCCGTTAAAAAAATAATACTGCGCTCGTTTTTTTTTCTTTACACCGATTGCGGGATGGAACGTGTTGTTCGACATTCGTCGACCTGACGATCGAGTTAACGAAATGTATACCTGTACGTGTACAATATGTATACATATACATATATACATTTCGTTATACGTATGTATATTTATATGTATGTGTGTATGTATATGTATGCATATGCATGTACATGTCCTATGTAATTGTATATATGTATCTGTATATTCATATGTATCACGCGGGAAATCGTACTTTAACGTGTATACAAGAATAAGGTATCGCTTAAACGGCGAATCGCTCGTGCGCTCAGTCCAACGATTTCGATCTGTCTAATCTATGTTTACTTTCAAAATCAGAATTTGTACTGACGTTGGCGAGACGAGGACGACACCGTTGCTCGTACTCGACGTTCTCCGTCGAGGAAGGTCCGCCGTCGGAAACGAAAGACTCTAATATCACATTGTTGGATGGATTTGATTGGAAAGAACTCGCGCTAGCGTTAGCCGTCTCTTCCAGAGGACTCGCGTAATTTTTGGACACGCGAACGATCGCGGTCGCTGTCGCTATCGCAGTTGCCGTCGATATCGCTGTAGCTGTCGATATTGCTGTCGCTGTCGCTGTCGCTGTTGCCGTCGCTGTCGCTGGCTCAGTATTGATAAGTCCCTCGCAGGACCGGGGCAGAGTTCTCGAGAACGCCCTCCGAACCGAAAATTCCTCGCATTTCGCGTTACCGGCGTACCTGCCGATCGCCTTCAGAGACCCGCCGTACACGCGACGGCTCCTCGAGAACTCTTCCGACGGTTCGAAATCCTCCGACGAGTACATCGTCGATTCCGAATCGTTCTCGCGTATCGGCGGAAACGCCCTGCCAATTTCCGACGCGTTCCGCCGCTGCTCGTCCTCCCGATTGTTATCCTGGAGACCCTCGTTCGCAACAGTTGTCTCGTTTCCATGCGCATCGACGATCGAACGATCGCTCGGTTCCCAGACGCTCGGCTCTCGACTGCTACCCGCTGTACAATCGATGTTCACCATCATATACCTCTCCGTTCTCGGCATCTCGTAACTTTGATTCTCCGGGTCCGACGTGTCCGACGGCTTGCCCACCGGATAGGGAACATAGTTCGCGGAAGTACCTTGATAGATACGCGCGAACCCGTCCCCGGTGACGAACGGCAGGGTTTGCTCCTGATAGTTGAAGGGAACGTTCACGCACAAATTCGGCCTGATCGTTCCGTCCGCGAGCAAGTACGGCGAGAAACGCGGCAACGTCATCGCCTCCGGGTTCTCGAGCTGGCGAGAACTCCCGTTCTGCTCGAGACCAGCTTGCGAATTCAACCTTGCCGACGGGTTGCAAGCGTACGAGAAGCACTGCGGTGGCACGCTCGAGTTTGGCAGAACGCTTGGCAGAACGCTCGGCAGAACGCTCGGCAGAACGTTCGGCAAAACGCTCGGCGATTGACCGTTGATACGCGTCCCTGAAGATTCCGGCGACGCTGGGTTCGATATCTTACCGCGTGACTGGGCTATCACAGTCTCGTAGCTCGGCGGTGGACCGTACAGCTGATAGTACGGACAGTTCGCATCGTTCAAAACAACGTTCATGTTCATGTTCTGATAATGCGACGATGCGGCCGAGCCGTTGTACGCGGGCACCGCGCCGTTCCTCTGAGGACCTGTGAACGTAACTGCTCGTTATACAGAGCCGAATCTATCGGATCCAACTAACGCTCGTTTGCTCTACTAGCCTTTCCACATTCGTTGCAACAACACCGTGTTCCTTGCGGAATTGTAGGTGATGCGAGCTCTCTGCCCCTGACAAGGCGGCCCCCGAAGGGAATTCTGAGCTCGCGAATTCGAAGCCCTGTTCGGTATAGTCGACGCGGCTGCCCTGTATCTCCCTTGCAACCAGTACCGGTACCACCATCCACCGCCGGAACAAACCAGGAACATGATTATCACCAATATCCTGGAAATAGGAATAGAATCAATTGCGATTTCTTACGTTTCTTTTTAATCGCAAGCATGATAATGCAGATCTCTACCCACCAGTAATACCATAAATGATGAAAGTGCAATCCTGGCGACCCGCAACAGCCGATACCGCAACAATATTCCGTTCTAGAACACCTGAAATAATCGTTTTCGGATAGTTTAGATAGTTCAAATAACTTATCCGTAAACCGCCACCAAAATTCAAAGTTTAAATTGCAAATTTCAAATTGTAATATTTCAAATTGATTGTTAAACGACACAGCCAGTCCGATCCTGGTCCATTTTTCGTACCAGGATGCAAAGAACATTTTATCTTCGAAACATCGTGAATCGTGACGTCACGAGTACGTGTTGCAACAGTTGCATCCTTCCCTTATACAATAAACATAATTACGTGCAGTTGACACTCACTCGTAGTATTTTATTTCTCCAGGCATTTCGGAGGCGCAATATTTTGCTTCTGCCTAAAAAAAGTAGCCGTTTTAAATCGGTTAGCGGGCCAGCGATAAAGTAATCGATAGAAAACGAGAACATGAAAACTTTGTTGGCATTATTCGTCGCGTAGATGGATACATTTTTAACGGGATCGATGGAAACGCGATCCATCGATCCTATCGTGAAAATGTTCTTCGATAAACGTGCAAACGATTACGATGAATCAGTTTGAAGTATGAAATTAATCGACCGTGCATTCGATGTTCCGTGAGAAAAAACGATGTCGAACACTAACGAGTAAAACGGATCACTCACGTATATCAAGCACTTGGACGTCCCGGCGAATATCGCCAGCTTTTTCTTCGTGTTTCGCGCCATCCTGTCTCGGTACATTCACGCTTTCGTTCCTGTCGAAGATAAACGAGACGCTCTGACAGAATGTTTTGACATAATCACCATTTCGCTCCGACTGTCATGTGCACACAACATTGAACACCACTTATTGATTTCAATTTCGGAGCTTCTCAATGACGTCATCGAGCCCAGAGCTGCCAACCAAAAGGATTCACCGAGCTGGTTGGCATCATTGGAACGTTCATTTTTTCCGGAACAAATTCGCGGGCCGCAGGAAATATCGCAACCACCGAATCTCCGCGCGAATCGTCGAGAACGAAGCATCTTGCAGACACATAAACATACCTATTACTTAGAACAGCTTAAAATAATAAAAGTATTCAAAATGTCTTCTACATTTTACGCCACTGTAATATATATTTTCCTTTCAGAAGCATGAGACATACATTTTGGTGCCTTATCGATATACTGTGTTCGATTACATCGAAGTCAATCAAACGTCGAGGTTACTGATATTTTTATTGTACTTGGAATTTGATAAAACTTTTAACGAGTTGGACAAACATCCATATTCTACTCGTTAACGCACATTTTATTCTCTCGAAGAGACGCTGACGTTCATGCTTTTGTAATTGATAAATTATATAAATAAAAAAAACAATGTCTGTTACAAAGAAACCTTTGTTGTCTCTATTTGTATCACAGAGTCTTTTGTCGTCGCATTCTGATCAATTGTTTTGTTCTTCATCTGCGAAGACATTAACGTGTAGCTGACTTTAAAGTATTTCTTCAGGAATGGGGCGTAACTGCGACGAGAACCGCAGTAGATGCAAATGCAAAACAGCGTCACGAGAAGCAACGCCCCCAGAACGAAAGCCCTGTCGACAATCGTAATTTGTGAGTAATACCATATACATATGTAGACAGATAGACAATACATAATCAAAAGATATATACGTTAACAGTAAAGAATTAAACTCCGTCTCTTTGCAGCACTCATTATCACCGCAACAATACTCCCAGGATTGGCACATACCCCAAACACAGTAATGTACTGAACTCTGAAACAAAATCAAGAATATTTGTATATGTTTTCCAAATCGCTTACCAGAAAACATTGATCGATAAACATTAAAAGCTTGAATTACCATTGATAATGCGTAAATAAAATAAAACGGTGTATTCGCATGACAGCTGTCCTGTCAAAACACAACCATAAACTACTCGAACGCTAGATCGTTAGCGAGTACATTTTTCGAACCGCAGCTTCGTTTCCAATAAACAAAATTCGCTTCTTTGGAAAGAGGTGCGCCGCTGAAGAAACGCATTTTAGTCGCACTTCTCTAATATATTATTATCCGTGACTGTAAAATTCATCGAATGATCGAGTAAAAATACACCGTACACGATATAATCTGTGTAACGAGGATTGTTAACAAAGTTCTGCACGTGATTAATTTGAAATTCCATAAATCATACTATAAAAATGGCATTAAGTTCGAGCACAAAGCAAAAAATTGCAATCATCTTAGACGTGAGCAAGACCATATTCCACTGGGGTTTTATTCCTACGATTTTATTTTTAGGTTAGGCGTGTATTTTATCCGAAATCATTTTACATTAATCGTAAACGGAATTGTACCTGTGCGTCTTTACAAAGACGTAATAGAGACAAAACGTGTATGCATGTGCAATTAATCGATTTCTCGTTTGCGCAGGATTCAGAAAAGGTGCTGAACCAGGCACGCCAGAATTAACCCTCATGAAGTAAGTTCCCTTGATAAGTTTTTTGGTATGAAATAATGCATATTCTATTCAAAATAATGTAATACTTTTATATTTGCATTTTCAGCTTACTGTGGCAATAAATACATCCGTTACACCATTGTTCCCTTTTTAACTTTAACACAATGCCCTTATTGATCCATTGATTCGTTTTCCTATATTCTTGTTAGGTTTAGTACATTCCATATTACTTAATTAAAGCAACACAATTATTAGCAAGACAATGTTATCTCGATGTTGAACGAAATGAAATACAAATTTTCTGGTTACGTATAATTTGAGATATGTGAATATGAATTAATTACATACTATTTATGTCAAAATATTGAAAACAATAAGAAAATGCAGAGAAGTATCTTGTAAAATATATTTGCATAATCATCGTCCAAACGAATGTATAAATTCATGTGTAATACCAACCAAGGAAATCGTTAATAATTTACGTATTCAAATTTTGGCGGATCGTTTTGTGAGCAATGCATCCAACATTGCGCAATTGGATATACGTCGTTTCATAAAAACTTCATTGTCATTCTCACAAGTTATCGACCAACGATTATTTTCTTTATCTTCTTTCTCGTTTGCAGTATCTCAATTATGAGACAAATATATAACGATAAAGTCTTCTAAATAAATGATATCTTATTGTTACAACATCTAAAATACATAGGAACGTTGATCTGTTAATATAAGTGAGACCAGAGAGAGAGAGAGAGAGAGTACAACACGATGGGACACGACCTCGGTAAGTACAGTATATATACAGTAATAGAATCTACTCCTGTACATTTTTCTTATTCCCTAAGCTGGCGCGCACATCCCTATCATTTTACTGCACATCCAATCCGCAGTGGATTCTGTCTCAGCAATGAATTGTCAACCAATCAGAGCAAAGGAAATTTCTGTATCAATCCTCGCTAACAGGTCAAGCTGCGGCCCGGAGGTGTACAGGAGTAGGATCCATTACTGTACATAGTCATAGTACACTTTATGGCTAAACTGTAAAACGCGTCGTTTTGTTGGCAACAGTGGCACCTAACCTGTCAGAAGTAGCAGATCACAACCGTGATCAGTTTTTGGGCATATTAAGATACAAGATTTTAGGTTCGTGGATCTGCCGTGTTTGTCACCACGGACAGCAAAGAAATAATAAGCAGAGGCAGTGAAAATTTCCTATCGATGCGTATGTAGAGCAGAGTAGCGGTGATCGTTAAAGGTGGCCATCCGATTTTCACGAGAGCTCCCTTGTCCAACCCTGCCTGTTATGCGGTGGTGAACGTCGACAGGTGAGTGTACATTTTTCGTTTCATGGTGCACACTTCCCTCGTTTTACCGACAAAAAAAAACCATTCCCTGATGACGGCGGGCTGTGTTGGACTTGTTCCTGCGAATTGCTTTTCATCTGGATCACCGATAGTGACGGGTAGTAGTGTTGTAGCACCAAGATTTTTGATGTTCCGAAGTTCCCTGCCAAAAGATCGAAGCCACTACTAACGATGCACATCCTGATGTAACTACTTCGGTATGGACCTTCCAATTACCGATTAACCCTTTACGCGTAAAACATCGTTTCCCATGAGTATTTTTGTATCCGGTCGAACCTATAATCGTTCTCTCTCACTCTCTTCATTCTTTCTTGCTCTTTCTCTCCCTCACACGCATACACACATACACTCACTGACTCATTCACTTACTCTCTCTTTCTCTTTCTCTCTCTCTCTCTCCCTCTCTAGATGTGTATAAGAGACAGCTCTCTCTCTCTCTCTCTTTCTCTCTCTCTCTCTCCCTCTCTAGATGTGTATAAGAGACAGCTCTCTCTCTCTCTCTCTTTCTCTCTCTCTCTCTCCCTCTCTAGATGTGTATAAGAGACAGCTCTCTCTCTCTCTCTCTTTCTCTCTCTCTCTCTCCCTCTCTAGATGTGTATAAGAGACAGCTCTCTCTCTCTCTCTCTTTCTCTCTCTCTCTCTCCCTCTCTAGATGTGTATAAGAGACAGCTCTCTCTCTCTCTCTCTTTCTCTCTCTCTCTCTCCCTCTCTAGATGTGTATAAGAGACAGCTCTCTCTCTCTCTCTCTTTCTCTCTCTCTCTCTCCCTCTCTAGATGTGTATAAGAGACAGCTCTCTCTCTCTCTCTCTTTCTCTCTCTCTCTCTCCCTCTCTAGATGTGTATAAGAGACAGCTCTCTCTCTCTCTCTCTTTCTCTCTCTCTCTCTCCCTCTCTAGATGTGTATAAGAGACAGCTCTCTCTCTCTCTCTCTTTCTCTCTCTCTCTCTCCCTCTCTAGATGTGTATAAGAGACAGCTCTCTCTCTCTCTCTCTTTCTCTCTCTCTCTCTCCCTCTCTAGATGTGTATAAGAGACAGCTCTCTCTCTCTCTCTCTTTCTCTCTCTCTCTCTCCCTCTCTAGATGTGTATAAGAGACAGCTCTCTCTCTCTCTCTCTTTCTCTCTCTCTCTCTCCCTCTCTAGATGTGTATAAGAGACAGCTCTCTCTCTCTCTCTCTTTCTCTCTCTCTCTCTCCCTCTCTAGATGTGTATAAGAGACAGCTCTCTCTCTCTCTCTCTTTCTCTCTCTCTCTCTCCCTCTCTAGATGTGTATAAGAGACAGCTCTCTCTCTCTCTCTCTTTCTCTCTCTCTCTCTCCCTCTCTAGATGTGTATAAGAGACAGCTCTCTCTCTCTCTCTCTTTCTCTCTCTCTCTCTCCCTCTCTAGATGTGTATAAGAGACAGCTCTCTCTCTCTCTCTCTTTCTCTCTCTCTCTCTCCCTCTCTAGATGTGTATAAGAGACAGCTCTCTCTCTCTCTCTCTTTCTCTCTCTCTCTCTCCCTCTCTAGATGTGTATAAGAGACAGCTCTCTCTCTCTCTCTCTTTCTCTCTCTCTCTCTCCCTCTCTAGATGTGTATAAGAGACAGCTCTCTCTCTCTCTCTCTTTCTCTCTCTCTCTCTCCCTCTCTAGATGTGTATAAGAGACAGCTCTCTCTCTCTCTCTCTTTCTCTCTCTCTCTCTCCCTCTCTAGATGTGTATAAGAGACAGCTCTCTCTCTCTCTCTCTTTCTCTCTCTCTCTCTCCCTCTCTAGATGTGTATAAGAGACAGCTCTCTCTCTCTCTCTCTTTCTCTCTCTCTCTCTCCCTCTCTAGATGTGTATAAGAGACAGCTCTCTCTCTCTCTCTCTTTCTCTCTCTCTCTCTCCCTCTCTAGATGTGTATAAGAGACAGCTCTCTCTCTCTCTCTCTTTCTCTCTCTCTCTCTCACTCTCTCTCTCTCTCTCTCTCTCTCTCTCTTCTAACATTCACATACACACGCGCAAAAAAACATTTCACGCAGTTTTATTTATAGTTGTACAAAGCAGTTTTCAACAGCCTAGAGTATGTGCATAAGCAAGTAGTTGTGACATCAACATTGTGAAACTATCGATAGCTCTTTGGAAGCACCGAATGTAATGTACTTTAAAACTAATTGCACCAACCGAGTAATCTGTCTTTGTTTCTTGTTCTCCTTGTCTTCTTGTTTATATCTAACAAAGCATTTACAATGATGTTGTACACCTTTATATAAATGAAAGTAAAACCATAAGCATCACCGTTCTATATTTGTTTTAATTTCCTGGACCCTGTATATTTATTTTGAATTTTTTATTAGATCTGATACTATCTTTCCTATGTCTTTTCAACAGAAATTATTGTAGGAAGTAGTAACAGTGACGCTCACTCGACAAGCGTATAGAAATATGATGTCAGGGTATCGAGGCAGCGGAGGATCTGGGAGTTATTACGGAGGCTCCTCAGGCCTCAGACAAATAGATTTAGATCAAATCTGGGGAGATCTTCGAGAGGGCATCGAACAAGTTTATAACAGACAATGCATGTCTAAACCAAGATATATAGAATTGTACACGTATCCTTTCTAAATGTAGAAATCAATTAAGGCTACAATGTAATTACAGATAATTTTTAGTAAATTCCTTAATACATTATATAATCTGATAGACACGTATATGATTACTGTACGAGTGTTCATCAACAATTAAATAGAACATCAACTAAAACCAAGAAAGGACAAATTTCTCAAGGAGGTGCACAGTTAGTTGGATTGGAATTATATAAACGTTTACGTGACTTTCTTAGAAATTATCTCATTAGTTTATTGAAGGTAATGGTTGTTCATTTAATTCTATTTATGTTCAGCAATTTAAGAAAAGAAAAATATTTAATATAATTGTTTGATTTTGCTGGATACAGCATGGTGTAGACTTGATGGACGAAGATGTACTACAATTCTATACAAGACAATGGGAAGAGTATCAATTTAGTAGTAAAGTTTTACATGGTGTGTGTGCGTATCTAAATCGCCACTGGGTACGCAGGGAAAGCGATGAAGGACGTAAACATGTGTATGAAATTTATCAGTTAGCTTTGGTTACATGGAGAGAAAACTTATTTAAGCATTTAAATAAACAAGTAAGTTGTTAAACCATGTTCGATCATAGAAAAAACAATATTAATATTCTACATGCTATGCTTCAGGTTACAAATGCAGTGCTTAAGTTGATTGAAAGAGAACGCAATGGGGAAACAATAAACACACGCTTAGTCAGTGGGGTAATTAATTGTTATGTAGAGTTGGGTTTGAATGAGGATGGACATAATCTTACTGTTTATAAAGATTCGTTCGAGAATATTTTTCTTGAAGATACAGAAAGGTTTTACACTCGTGAAAGTTCAGAATTCCTCAGACAAAATCCAGTCACGGAATATATGAAAAAGGTATGAAACGAAAAATGCACTAATTTTTATGCATTTTTTAAACGAACGACTTACGCTTCCCGATTGTTCAATCACAGGTAGAACAAAGGCTATTAGAAGAACGAAAGCGGGTTCACGTTTACTTACATCAAACAACATGCGATAGATTGGCCAAAACATGCGAAAAAGTGTTAATTGAGAAACATTTAGACATATTTCACTCCGAATTTCAAAATCTTTTAAATGCTGACAAAAATGCAGATTTAGGTCGAATGTATCAGTTAGCAACAAGGATACCTAATGCTCTTGGCGAACTAAGAAGTCATTTAGAAAGTCATATAGCGAATCAAGGACTTGCAGCTATTGATAAATGTGGTGAAGCTGCATCTAATGTACGTTCCTTATTGATTTTTTTTGCCGTAAACGTATCAAAAATCATTTACACGTTTTTCTATTACAGGATCCAAAGGTTTACGTGAATACGACTCTAGAGATTCATAAAAAATACAATGCTTTAGTACTTGTTGCATTTAACAACGACAGCGGTTTCGTGGCAGCTCTTGATAAGGCTTGTGGAAGATTTATTAATAATAACTCGGTAACTAGAACAGCAAATAGTAGCAGTAAATCACCAGAGCTACTTGCAAAATATTGTGATCTATTGTTAAAGAAGAGTAGTAAAAATCCTGAGGAGGCAGAACTTGAGGACACACTTAATCAAGTTGTAAGTAAAGATTCTGCAATGAATAAGGATTATCATCGTATCTGGTTCTCCCTAATACTTTCCGATTTCAGATGGTGGTATTTAAATACATTGAAGATAAGGATGTATTTCAAAAATTTTATAGTAAAATGCTGGCGAAACGTTTGGTACAGCACATGTCAGCCAGTGATGATGCAGAGGCTTCTATGATCTCGAAATTAAAACAAGCCTGTGGTTTCGAATACACTTCAAAATTACAACGGATGTTCCAGGTAATATATCAGTTTAGAAATCTGTGTAGTTACCGTTCGTATTAATTTCACGTACCACAGCAACGGATTCGCTATTACTCCTCTAGGAAATTATTTCTGCATTGTGTAAAATTAAAATTTGACGAAATTATAACATTTTGATTATAGCAATCTGTCCACAGGATATCGGTGTGTCCAAGGACCTGAATGAGCAGTTTAAAAGACACTTGACAAATTCTGCTGAACCGCTGGACATAGATTTCAGTATACAAGTGTTGTCGTCTGGCTCATGGCCGTTTCTACAAACTTTTACGTTCTCGTTACCAACCGAGGTAAATTCGATTCTGAAATAATTCACCAAAAACTGGGTCATATTACAAGTATTTAATACAGCATTTGTATATTACAGCTAGAAAGATCTGTACATAGGTTTACCACTTTCTATAGTTCACAGCATAGTGGAAGGAAGCTGAGTTGGCTATACAATATGTCAAAAGGAGAATTACATACAAATTGTTTTAAAAATAGGTAATAGTATACATACAGAAGAGACACGTTACATTTTCCGAAGCTTACAGCGCTTACGAAGAGATGGTTGTAAATATAACTTTAATTATAGATACACATTACAAGCTTCTACTTTTCAAATGGCCGTTCTATTACAATTTAACGGATCCACAGTATGGACAATACAGCAATTGCATGATGCAACGCAAATAAAAATGGATTTTTTGTTCCAAGTATGTATTAACATGGAGAAACATTAAAAAGAAGCGAATATTAACCAAATATTTATATCCCAGGTGATACAAATACTCTTGAAATCGAAACTATTAACGTCAGCTGCAGACGACGTAACTGAATTGACTCCATTGTCTACAGTGGAACTGTTCACGGGATACAAAAAGTATGTGTGTTTAGTTATATGAAATATTGATTTCATCAAAGATTCTATATTGGTATATTATTTTTATAATAGCAAGAAACTAAGAGTAAATATTAATATACCAATGAAAACGGAATTGAAAATCGAACAAGAAACTACACATAAACATATAGAGGAAGATAGAAAACTTTTGATTCAAGCAGCAATCGTTAGGATTATGAAAATGAGGAAAGTATCGAAGCATCAGCAACTGGTGGCTGAAGTATTGAATCAGTTAAGCTCTAGGTTCAAGCCCAGAGTACATATTATTAAGGTAAGTACGGATAAGAGGGTCTCTCGGAGTAATTAGATAAATCATCAAGAGTTTATCAACCGAATCTACCTCGTTCTAACGATTCATTTTGATAAAACTACAAACAATCGGAACCAGATGTTTGAAAGTTAGTACGAATATGAAAAAATATAGCCTTAATGGAAAATAATTTTGCTCTTTCAGAAATGTATAGATATTTTAATTGAAAAAGAATATCTGGAGCGCACAGAGGGTCAAAAGGACACTTATAGCTACCTGGCATGATCAAGTTGATCTAGGACAACGATACAGCAGCAACCATATACGCAAAAGAAAGATGACTCTCCACTCTCATTGCTACATACTCGCAATATTTATTTAAGTCTCATATTTTGAATCTCGTATATTTTCCCTGTACATGGATGCCCTTGTACCATGTTGTCCCTCTGGTCGCATTTTTAGAGTGGTTTTTATAATATATTAATAAAATTATTTCATAGTCAAGCTGCTAGGTGTGTTACTGTCTGTGCCGTCTCTGAAATATGTTATTTGAAAAACATTTATCGATACAAATCTGTAGACACAATAGCAGAAGGCTATGTTCTTCAAACTATATAAAACGTGTTTAATAAAATTTAAAAAAAAAGTATCAAATTAATTATCACAAAGCTAAAACAAAAAGATATATTCTGTGAATAAAATATTGATAGAGAAAAAAGATTCAGGGTACATTATAAGTCGCATTACTCAGAATGAACGAAAAGCTATAAAAGGGAAACATAATTTCAGCTATTTGTATTATAGAATACGGAACGTGTCGTAAATTCGTATAAGCACACATAGATAGTAATGCATTTTAGCAATTGTGAAGTCCTGCTAGCAATCACGTGTATAAGGAACAAAATTTTGTACCAGTGAATAAACGAAACTGCCCTAGAAATGTGAAGAATCGAGTTGTTCTTTCGTTCAGAGCAGTCTCAATCTAAAAATCAATCGATTCAATAGCTGGCAGTCCTTGAAAGAGAAAACACGGGATTATCGAGTGGTCCCATGAAGATCATAAAGGGTTGACTAAGAAATATTAATTGTACACATTGTATCTAAGGCTTAGAAAGCTCGTTTCACCCATGAAGTGAAAATAACGTTTAAAATATGAGACTAATGAATTTTCCTTGTTGATGCTAGATGTATTCGAGGCAAATTATTCGAATGATTTCATCAAAATTATTCCTTCTAGTAATTAGAACGCATTAGATATTCACAGTGCAATATAAAATAAAAAGAAGAAAATTTGTGGTATGCTATAATTTTGAGTGTAGTCACAAAAAGTGGCTTCACGTTTAATTTTAAAAACTCAACGATCATTGTCAATGCATCGGTGCCACTAATACTAAGGATGATATAGTACACCACAATATATAAAAATATAGAAATTTAATGCTTGCAAATATTACCACGATTTTGGAGTTGACATGTAAAAAGGCTGAGAAGTATAAGTCTCGAACTGAAAGTTATTGTAATTAAAACCGAAAAAATTAAATTACAACTTATTTGAGGGTGAGTAATGTCTCGATATTCAATTATGAAAAACAAAAAAAAATATTAACTTAATGTATTTTATTATAATAAAAACATTAGCATGAATTCGAACGTTGAAGCATTGAATTGTTCAGAGAAGGTTGTGCAGCACGCATTCGTCCGAAAGTGCGGATACGTACGTCGTGTTTATTCACTTTTGTATGATGTTTAACATCGTTTAATTGATTACACGTGAAAATTTCTAGATTCGATTATTCTCGTAGGTTTAGAAATCATACGACGGTATATTATTTAAGGTAGAACATACAAAATTCTTCACTGCCAGGATTAAGATTTGTAAAATCTGTGCGTAATGCAATTGAAAATAACATCGATGTTTTTTTATTTATATATATATATATCTGAACACTTTTATTTTCGATGTGTGTCCTATTAACGTGTATTGTGTACGAAAAAATCGTGTCGATCATTTTACACATGCCAGCTATGGAACATATTAATATTTTGGTTTTTGTACATACAGCTAAAATTCATTGTTGTCCATTTTTATTGCTCGTGCACAAAATAGGACTTAATGTGTAAATAAGTTTAAAAAGTCATTTAATCGTATCTAAAGTAGAAACTTTCGTTTCAATACAGTTGCAATGGAAATCAATCGTATATCTTCTTGCAATTTTTATCCAATTACTTTTTGAACGATGTTAAATGAAACATCGAGATAGAACGACGTTGGAATGCATGATTTCCATGGTAACCATGAGAGCCCACCTTTTATATATTTTGCTTTGGAATCTTTTGTTGCAGATCCCATTAACTTATCAAGTATCATCACTATTTTGTATAGCGCAATCGAATAATTGCTACGATTATGCCGTAATTTAAAAAGTATATTTATTTCACGTAAAAAAAGATTAAGAATGAAAAAGAGAAATCAAGATTGTAGTACGAAATTTTAAGTTAAAAATCTGGTTTTCAAAAATCACAATGCTCTGGTAGAGAATATGCGAAGCGTGAATACATAAATTCTTTTTCTGTGAAGACTATTATTAAGAAACACATGTTGTAAAATAAAATTGTATAATACTTGTAGCTATGAAATGGAATTATTCCATCTTTCACAGTGTATAAGTTGTAGCAGTCATTCAATAAATGTTTTATATACAATTTATCATAAGCACTCGGGTTTTTGATCCAATAATCTCAAAAAATCTTCTTTAGTAAATCTCAGTTGTCCAATAGTAATTAGGCACGCCTAAAGAATATGGTAATATTAACAGAAAATTAGATTTTCTTTTAATAATTTAGAATTATAATAGATTCTTACATTTTGCTTCTTTAAGTTGTCCACAACTAACATTTGTTTTTTAAATGCGTGAACTATTTCTGTAAGTTGTTTTCCTAGACTACTGACGGTCAGTTTTTTCTCATCCTGTAGTTTCCTGACTTGATTTCTTAATTCCTAAACATACATTAAAATCGATAAAGAACAATAGTAATGCATATTAAGTAAATAATATATATATATATATATACCTTTTCTTCTATTTGAGAACATTTCAGCGCACTTCTTAGTTTGTCATTATTTTCTAATGATCTATTTAGTCTCATGCTATAATTGTTACACTGTTGATTCAGTGCTTTAATTTGTTTCTGTAGTTTGTCCAGGTCCTATTAAAATTATACATTAGAAATTTACTGAACTTTACCCTCAATTATTCTTGAACCGATACCTTTTTTACAATTGAATTTTCTGTATTTAATGCCTGAGCTTGACCCTGCAACTCTTTATTTGTGTCTTCCAGCTTTACAATTATATCCTTTAACGAATCTATTTCATTTTGCAATTTTGTTTCAACTTTTTTATATTCAATCTCCAAATCTTTGCAAACATCGCACTGCAAGTAACGTATAAAATCTAAATTATCAAAAAAGTCAGTAAAATATTTATTATTGCTTGTTGAAATTTTTGTCACCTTCTTTTTATATTCTACATGTAATGTTTGCAATTCCTTTTGCAATATATCTATTTTTGATTTAAATAAATTGACAATTGTTTCATGAGTTAAATTTCCTCTTTTATATGCTTCGTTTACATGATCTTTTTGTGAATCAGTTTTCCTATAAAAAAATGTACAAAATTTAAACACTTATCAAATAAAAATAAAATCTGATGCCATCGTATCTTGTATATGTAGTTAACAGATATAAAATAATATTTTTCAGTAAATAGTTGTTCCGATTTTTTGCTTACAATTTTGAAGATACTGCACCAAAGACATATGGTAAGGATGCACCTCGTTTAACTGAAACTTGAATATTATCATTTTCTCGTCTCGTTACGTTTTCGGAGATTTCTGTTTGATCATTAATAGAACTCGTGACTCGTATTTTCGAATTGGATATCGAACGTTCGTTATTATAAGTATTTATAACGTGATCTATGTTTCTCATTAAATCATTCGCTCTTTGTTCGAGTTCTTTATTCAGTTGGCGAAATTCTTTTTCTTTAACTAACAGATCTTCGGTCATCTTTCGATCCGAATAATCGCCTTACTAGTAAGTATTAAAATAAGTAAGTATAAACTACGAGTAACAACTATATTTTCCTGTAATAATTCTGCGTTCGACATTACATGTTGTCACGCTATTGTAACCGAATTATCCTGATCTTGATCTGTCCTGATCCGAACGCAACACCTGCTCATGTTTGTTTATAGTTTTATAGAATCTCTCTCTCTCTCTCTCTCTCTCTCTCTCTCTCGCGCGCGCCGCGCTTGCGCTATGCGTACGTATCATGCGCACAAGGCGGCAGTTTTTCGTTTTCAAAAGTATACAATAAACTCAGAGCAGACGTTACGAAGACGCAATCAACGTGTAAATATTGTGATGTGATGTTGAAAATCTGTTTCCAATCACGATGACAGCACGTTCTATTTTACAAGGTATAGTTGCCGAAGAACGATATTTGTCAAAGATTTTATCGGTTTATTACAATGACAGTTTCTGCAAGGCTATCGTAATTCGTAACATAACACCACTTTCTTTTTAACTTTGTATTCAAATAAGCTATACACGTGTTGTACGAAAATTACAAACACATTTTTAAAATTAAATTACACGTTAGTACATAAAATAAGTATTATTAATTGGTGTCATTTTTGCAGTTTTTGACCAGTACCAAAAGGCTCGTCTACTCTTCGTACAATCCGTCGCAGATTTAGCCACCAGACCAAATAATATAGAATGTTTAGAAGCTGCCGGAGCCTTGGATCTTTTGCATCCTTTACTAACAGATCCTGTGCCATCCATTCAACATATGGCAGCTATAGCTTTAGGGAAACTGGCCAACAACGACATTCGGTTGGCAGAAGCTATTATAAGGAAGGATATTTTACCACAGCTCTTGAAAAATATTGCTAAACAAAATGTATGGGTATTCATTGCATCGCTGTGGTATTTTTCTATAAGTTTTATCATCGATCATGTTTTTTACAGAAATTTTATAAGAAAGCAGCTTTGTTTGTTATCCGTGCTATAGCTAAGCATTCCCCTGAATTGGCAGCCGTAATAATTCAAAGTAATGGATTGGAAATTATAATGGTTTGTTTGGAAGATTTTGATGCTGGAGTAAAAGAAGCTGCAGCTTGGGCGTTAGGATATATTGCCAGACATAATAAAAACTTAGGCCAAGCCACAGTTGATGCAGGTAGTATAATAAATATATTACTATGGTAATTTCAGTTTGAAAATTTAAACAATCATTTTGTAATCCACAGGTGCTGTTCCCCTTCTAGTTCTATGCTTGCAAGAACCTGAATTATATTTGAAACAAATCGGTGCATCCGCTCTTTGCGATATAAGCAAACATGACAAAGATCTTGCAGAAATTATAGTCAATGCTGGGGCTGTTCCTTTCCTCGTGAAAGCACTATCTAATGCTGATACCAAACTAAAGGTGAAATAGAAATAGTCGTTGCATGACTATATAATATGATATTATGGTTCTTACTAATATGTACAGCGTCAAGTCCTTTTTGCGCTGAGCAGTATAGCAAAGCATACTGTACACTTGGCAGAATCTATTATCGAAGCTGAGGTTTTCCCCAGCGTTCTTGAACATATGGCATATCCGGATGAATGCATCGTTAAAGCAGCAGCAATGCTAACCAGAGAAATTTGCAAACATACAATAGAAGTATGCTGATTTAACTTTACACTTCCAATCGTATATTAATTACACTCGTTTCTAGATGGCCCAGCTGATTGTAAATATGGGTGGTCTCGGTGCACTCGTAGAATTGATCAGTACATCGAAATTAGCTGCTAGATTACCGGCGATAATGGCAATCGGCTACATCGCTGGACACTGTGATCAATTAGCTATTGCTGTTATCGGATCCAAAGTGTGGTAAAATAATACTTATGCTATAATAACATTCTAAAAGAAATTGTTCACTTTAGGGAATTACACAACTGTCCACCGTGTTACACGAAGAGAAGGATGAACATTTACTTGCTATTACTACATGGGCAGTTGGACAAATTGGTAAACATACACCAGAACATGCGAAAGTAGTTGCAGCTTCAAACATTTTACCAAAGTTAATACAAGTAAAACCCCATGTTGTTTACATACATGTTATACGTATACAGTTTCTTATGAAATATTATTAATTTACACATTATTTCTAGCTTTATAACGATTCAAATTGCTCAGAGGATCTCAAGCTAAAATGTAATGTAACGTTGAAACAAGTACTACAACGATGCATGTACATTGAAGCATTGGAACCTTTGATACATGTTGCACCACCTAATATTTTGAAGTATGTTCTCGGACAGTATAGTAAGGTAAGAGATACAATGATATTTTAACTGGTATATAATTCTTTACTTTATACATATTTTTTACAAGTTGCACTTAGAACTTACAAACTAGAACATAACAGTAAAATAAATGAAGTAGTATTTATGCTATACCATGTAATTAAATCATTTATAATTTATTAATTGCTTCGTACAACGATGTAACAAATCCTGTGGTTATTACCGTTTAGTGACTATTTTGCATCTCAGTTAAATAACTATTACATTAAAAACGTCATATGATGTTTTATTGAAATAACTGGTCGAACAGGTGTATGGTACCAGTACAATTGTTTTCATCTCATTTGCTATTCGCTTATTCTTTTTTTTTTATATTGTAACTTTTTACAGATGACACAAACTTTATTCTAATCCTACTTAACACAAATATAAAATGTTACATATTCCTAGTAAAATATAACAATATACATCGATATGCTGCGTGTCACTGTATTTGTTTGATACTAGGAATAATAGGAAGTGAAAAAATTGGTAATAGCATAAAGTAGTCAGAGTTTTTTCATTTAATATATCTTTAATAAATATTATGGCACATTTTAAGTCCCAAAAAAGCACATTTCTCAGTCTTACGACAGTAAATGGTACGGCTAAAGTACAAAGACAATTTAAATGTCGAATATATTTTGTTGAAAAATTTCAATTAAATTATGAAATACTTAAACATACTTTTCTTTTCAAGCTATTCCCTATTTGCATCTATTGTACCGTGGTGTATTTTCTAATGGCAGTATTTGATATAAAGAGATTGGATGTACAAACATTTTGTAGATACACGTAACAAAGAATGATTAAGTTAGAAGTAAACGTTAATCATTGTTTAAAGAAAATAACAGTTCATGAAACTGTTGATCAATAAGGCATTGATTTGATACTTGCGATAATACATTAATGTAATGTACAAATCTTATTATTACATGTTTTGAATTATATTTTTGATAAATGTTAAGCTCATTGATCATAGTATTAACGATAAATGCAGTTGCATCCCAGAAAAGCCAACCGTTATTTATGACTTATTCGAATGGTGCCGTTTACTTTTATAGAAATGCATGTAAAGAATTATATGAGATGCAATCGGCAGTAGAGTAGTTACTTTCGCACAAGTAAAAATATTTCTTCTTGCTCTCGCATTCTTTCGTTCGTTTGAGGTGTTTTTCTTACTGAAAAATCTTGAGTAAAAACTACATTTATACGAATCATGATGAATGATAAGTCACGCGTTCAATGTAAGATTAAAGGAAATTTCTACTTTGGAGTTACGCCTTATAGTTACTGCCATTGTAATGAAAAGTTACCAGAATTTCTGTTGCATGACAATTTCAAGCTGTAAAGCAATTAAGGCATATACTCGGTTCAGAGCATGCAATCTGTCCAAGTACCTCTGAAAAATGAAAAAAGAAAACAAGTTACATTATCGAAATATGCAAAAAAAAATTGACCAATCGTTTTTACAAAGGAACTCAACAACGTGTTCTCTAATGTTACAACTTCGGCATTTCTAATACAGAGAACGAAAATATAAAGCAGCTCATGATAAGAGAAATAACTTTTCAATTACTATAACATCTTTTAAGAATTAAATATTAATTAACTAGAAAATCTTGCCTTGTAAAAAGTCCAATATACAATATAATTTGTGCAGATTCTAATTTCTGTATTTTGTCAAATAAAATATGGCTTCTGCTCTGTTACTGCAAAAGAGGTGTACACAATAAATATTTGTATGTAACACAATCAAAAGCATATAGGATAGGTTCATATCTTGTTTCAGTCTGATTTGCAGAAAATCACATTGATAAGCAGAATTTTCCGATCTGCACAGTCATTGTGGTAAACACACTTTAGAATCATACGTAATGCTGACACGTAATTGAAAGTCAAGTATTTACACAGACAAATTAGATATTGAGAAGATAAGGTGTTTCTTAAGTAAAACGATTGATAAGTACTAAACCGACGATATTGTTCTCCTGAAGAATGAAATTAATCTAATCATTGTAATCATTCTAATAATCGAAACGAACTTGAATCTCTTTTTACAAAGCAATAATATCCTTTATATAATTATCATCACAATAATGAGATAACTTTGGTCTTCTAATCCATTTATACAACAAAATGATTATTTTACTCATCATTGTCATCATTAGGTTTAATACTAGCATAATTGTTCATATTTCTATTCACCCTCAGCATCTTGAGAAAACTTCCCAATACAAGTATAGTCTTCCGGTGTCTTCTGAAGATACCAGCATAAAGTTCTTCACGTACATCTCTTCTATCACTTACATCTGAATCGATGCTCGATACAGAAACGACTGATGGTTTCGCAGAGACCGGCTGATGATAGCTATTGGTCTCTCCCGAATTTAAAATAACACAATGTTGGTTGTTTATCATGTCTATTATTATACTCTGACTTCTCTGTCTAATGTAACGGATCAATGTAGCCTTGTACGTTCACGTTTTATGATAAATTAACATTTACTTCGTACGTAACTAATTTCACATGTGTCCCACGAAACTTCTCTGGTTACACTGAATGATTCAGTAGCAAGTTGACTTTTTATAAGATGCAGATTTTTATTTTCCTGTTATCAGACATATTTACTAGGAATCTGACGACAATACTGTGTAAGACAGTGCAATTTGCCTTTAATATATGATGATATCATCTCCCTTTTAATCACTTTATTGTTATGTGTTTGAACTTTAAGGCAGCTGTCTTCTTATCAAAGCCTTGGGCTGAAAAACTTCGTAATACTCTGAAATGCCTCCTTCTTGCCACCTTTTCGCATTATCTTATAATTCACAGCTTTTCTTTTGTATCTTTTCTTCCTTTTTCTATAATAATTATTTCAAATAGTTCATTAAACTCGATGTATTCAAAGCTCTGCTTGGTAATTATTATTTCACTTTATTTTTCACTCATCTACACCTACGTTTTTTGAGTAAACCATTTCAAAAAACATTTTAAAAATTCAAAAATTCTGCTTATTATAAATGCTAATTGTTTCTAGAGTAAAAAAATTATAATTTATAATAAAAGAGATAGGCGGATTGAGATTAATTTTCTAATCGCTTTGTTAAAAGTATATTGATCCTTCTTTTGTTTTCTTAGTGGTCGATGACTTTTAATACCATATTTATCTGAAAATAATTCATAAGTCGCATTTCATTATGTATGTATATGTATATCGTATATTATATAGGAAAACTAATATTGAAATTCAGCTTTGAGTTCAATAAATATTTTTTATAATAGTTAAAACTATCGTAGATAGATTCATTTTAAAGAAATAAATGTAGTTTGTAAGTCAGGTTCTAGAAGCCTTATTCTTAGCCACATTGCACAAGCAAACCAGTTGCTAATAATATTCTTTTTACTATATACTCGTGTACATATGCGCATCAAAGGACATTAAAGTATTGAAAAATGTAAAGAAACTGATTTAATTTGTTGATCATTTTCCTATTGAATAGATTTTACCTAATGATGCCAGAGCGAGAAGGCTTTTTGTAACGTCGGGCGGTTTAAAGAAAGTACAAGAAATTCAAGCAGAACCTGGCTCTACACTTTCAGAATATATACAAATTATCAACTGCTGTTTCCCAGAAGAAATAGTCAGGTTGTTTCTGCTCTTATATATTTATACAAAGATTCTTATAATCTGTATTCTTTCTTTCTGGCCTCATATAGTTTATAAATGATATTTTAACAGTTCAAAGCCATGAAATGATTAAGAATTCAAATATCTGTGAAAGGAAAGTTAGATTTTGTAATTTTTATATTACAATTTAAAATTGGTAATTACGATTATTTCCAACACCGGCCAATTTCCAATATTTTACTGATTGCTCAAAGCTAAATTACTTGCATTCTTATAAGATTTTATCAAGAAATAGATCTTGTATAAATGTCTGTATATTTCTAAGAATATGTACATATTAAGATAATGACAACAGCAGATAATCATCAAAAACACTAGTTGCTTTTGACATAACCCTAGTAGAGTTTTACTTACGGAAGGAATTCGGTAAAGTAATTTTATTTCGATGAAAAAGTCCAGTCTTCTTAAAGTAGTTCACACCAACAGCAAATACAAATAACTGCGACTCCGTTTCTGAATCTCGTGTGTCTTAATTTAAATCAGACAGTTAATGTACGGTGCGATCGCCATGTTGTTACAGCTGATTGCATTGGAAAAATAGGAACCTGAAGTTTAATGGATCAATAATTTTATGGTTACTCGATGATTTCTATTTACATACGAATCATGTAACCACATATTTTTATTATCAAAATTTTAATGACATATTACAATATTTACACGAACAAATGATAAAGTTTCTGTTCTACGTATCGCCAGCGAATGAGTCACGAACAGTTTTAATAATACGTATATTTCTTACGTCTTACATGATTCATTTAGAAAGTAGTCCCTGATTGCTACTTACATGCTTACGAAGATATTCTTTTGTTTATTTATGCACTTTATAATTTTTACTTGATTTTCATTAGTTTAATTATTTCATTTATTGGCATTAGATATTATTCTCCTGGATACCCAGACAGTCTCCTGGAAGCAGTCGAACTGTATCAACCAAAATGTCCATCACTTTTTGCAATGGAAAAACACGGGTTTTCTGATACCGATTCCAAATCTACTCTGTCATCTCATAATGAAGATTGTTAGAATAATATTTATCTTATCAGGGGTATCCTCATTATATAGATGATTGTTACGCATGTATACTACTCAACAAATTAAAGTACTTATTTAACCTATTGTCTGTTGACTGAAACTTTCAATTACATCTTAATTGGAATAGTTACATTTTAAAGTATTCTATTTTTATGTACAATTCCTTTGACGACTTGCGATTGGTAAAATCAAGCAGTGGTGCTTAGCTGATACTTGGCACAAGTATATATATGTAATATCGAAAGATATTGTATGTACATATTATGTATAATAAGAAACATAGAATTTCAATTAAAGCACGATATATTCGTAGATTTCACAAAATGAATGTTAATGTAAAGCATATATTACATTCAAATTTTTTAAACATTAATAGTTCTTTATATATAATTTGATGAAGGTTAAAAAATGACAACAAGCACCACTGACACTAGCGTTGGAGTACATATGGCATGTAGGTAGGTAAAGTGTTAGTGAATGTATGTAAATATGCATGGAGCGACTGTGACGTCTCTTTTGGAGAAAAAATGAAGCTCTTTTTAGTGTCCGTACAGCGCCAATTAGTGCAGCAGCAGAATGCTCGAACTGTTAGCCAAATTACCGATCGTCGATTTTGGCTAACAGTTTGAGCATTCTGCCGGTGCACTAATTGGCGCTGTACGGACGTCGAACGGAGCTTCGTTATTCTTCCGATAGAGACGCCACATACTCAGAATGCATGATCGCCTAAAAACAATAATTATGACAAAATTAGGACATAACAAACTAAACCGAGGACGCGGAACTGTTTAGGAGAATCTACTGGGTAGATATAGTATATAGAAACAAACAAAAACATTGCGAAACGTAATTAATTGTCCTTTGAAATTTGGTTAAGTATTATGTCAACTAATTATATTTTGCATTATTGTCCTTTGATTTTCTTACTCGATATAGATGCAACAAATTCTCCTGAACAGTTCTACGTCCTTGGTTTAGTTTTGTATGCCGTATTTTTGCCATAATTAATGTTTTTAGATGACCCAAATTGTGTATATGTGGCGCCTCTCTCGGTGGAACACTGAAGCTCCTTTCGAGGTCCGTACAGCGCCAATTAGTCCAGTGGCAAAACGCTCAAACTATTAGCCAAAATCGACGGTCGGTAATTTGACTAACAGTTTGAGCGTTTTGCCACTGGACTAATTGGAGCTATACGGACCTCGAAAGGAGCTTTATTTTTTCTCCAAAAGAGGTGTCACAATCGTCCGCATATAGACAACCATTACAACACAATGCAGTGATGTAAACGAGGTGAGAACGTATCTCGAACAAGACCCAAAATCGCGTGCTACAAAAACATTGCTATTAGGTTACATGTTAAAAATACATAATTGTTTAATATTTTGTTATGTACTAGCTTAAATAAATTATAAAAATGAGCAAGTCAAGTGTAAGGAAACGTGATATGAATTCAAAGGAATTTACAGCGCATAAAAAGTGTTCAAAGAAACGTGCATCTACGAAGACATTGTACAATCAAAAATTTACTGCACCTTTAAAAAAGAAACGGAAAAATCAGTATGATCCAAAAGAAGAATCCAGGTATAGTGTAACTAAAATTTGCGAAATTGTAAATGTTATTCAGATATATTTAATAAGTTTCAATCATACGATTTTTTATATAGGTTAGAAAGGATCGTGTTTGGTGATCCAAGCGACATCATCAACAATTTATTGAATGACGAGATCGATACCGAGTCAAACGAAAGTAAAAGTATTAATGTTAACGATAGCGTCTTGGTAGACAATGATCAAAATGAAGATTCTGATGGACAAAGAGACGATAATGTCGATGTAGACGGTCAGAGGAAACAAGCATGGACCGACGAAGACGACGAACAATATTCGTATGTATATTCTTACATCAAACGATTATTGTTTCATTTGTTTATGACTTTATGATTATACTTTCTTAGAGTACAAGCAGCTACAAAGGCACAGAATCGGGAATTACCTGCTGATATTCCAGAAAAACTGTATAAAGATTTTCTACATAGCAAGTATAAACAATTAGTGGGCACACCAAAATGGGCTGAATTTAAAAAGTCAGAAGGAGACACAGACGAATTAGACCATGATATATTAAAGGTAATAAAAAAGGGTTCTATTAATATGAATTATCAATATGAATTATTTCTAAAAAGATACTGTACTTTTTCAGCACAGTTGCCATTTGGAGAAACCAAAACTAAAAAATTTACCCAAGAGTATAATTGATATAAAAGCCTTAAATCTGATTAATAAACAAACACACATAGAAGGACCCATTATATCAAGTGTAGAATTTCATCCATCTTCAACTGTAGCATTGGTAGCTGGTTCTTCCGGTATTCTGTCTCTCTTTCAAGTAAGTAACTATTATACACTGTGACTAATTGCATTGATATTTTCCAGTAGAAAATGTAACGTATTATTGTATAATTACAGATAGATGGTATAGAAAATAATAAACTACATTCTACGCAATATAAAAAGTTTCCTATCAGTGTTGCAAAATTTTTGGGAGATGGTACAGAAGTTTTAATTGGTTCTCAGTATTATCCATATTGTCACTCCTATAATCTCATTAGTGGAAAAACACATAAAGTTTTATTGCCACATGGAGTAACAAATATACAGGTTTGTATAGAGTTACATTTTTAAAGATTTTTAGTTCATGTTAGCTAAACTTTCCAAATAAAACTTCAGGATTATGAAGTATCCCCAGATGGAAAGCTGATTGCTTTCGGTGGCCGATCGGGAGAAATTTATTTATTATCAAGTTCATCGAAGGAATTGATTGGTATTTTGAAGATGAATGAAAGGTGTAGAGCAATATGTTTCACACCAGATAGTAAGACACTGGTTTCACACGGTGGTAAGTGTTGTAGTACATATTCTTCTACTTAATTTGATATGTATTGAACTAATACTTATTTAATTTTATTACGAACCACTGCAGATAGTACAGAAATGTACATTTGGGATGTAAATAGTCGTTCGTGTATACATCGTGCTATAGATGATGGATGTCTATCTTGTGCATCTATTGCAATGTCTCCAAGTGGTCAGTTTTTGGCTACAGGTAGTAAGGAGGGTGTTGTTAATTTATACGAAACGATGACTGTGTTACAAAATCAAAATCCTGCTCCCTTAAAAGTTTTTCTAAATCTGGTAACATCGGTTACTAATTTAAAGTTCAATTCCTATTCAGAGATATTAGCAATGGCTTCGAATAAAAAGCATAATGCATTTAAACTGGCACATTTACCGTCGTTTACCGTCTTTTCGAATTTTCCTACATTTGAAACAAATATGTCAATGCCCGAAGCCATCAGCTTTTCTCCAGGCAGCGGTTATTTAGGTATTTCTAATAGATCTGGAAGTGCCTTTTTATACAGATTAAAACATTATGGAAATTATTAGATATAACGAAATTTGTATGATATATAAAGATATTAAAAAAATTTGAATAAGTATGCATTAATTTAATCGTTATTGTTCGTATTTTATTTAAAAACAACTCGCCGTATTTGTACATGGAAAGGGGTGTAATGGAAATTGATGTATGTTGGCGGTTACTACTTTTACTGGAAAATTAAGATGCATGAACCTATTAGCGAAAAATAATATTAGTTTATTTATTTATCTGTTTTTA